TTTTCTCTCTCTCTTTTCTCTCCTCTCTCTCTCTTTTTCTCGCTCTCTCTCTTTTTCTCTCTCTCTCTTTTTCTCTCTCTCTTTTTTTCTCCTCTTTTTTCTCTCTCTCTCTTTTTCTCTCTATCTTTTTCTCTCTCTCTCTTTTTTCTTCTCTCTGTTTTTCTCTCTCTCTCTCTTTTCTCTCTCTCTCTCTCTTTTTTCTCTCTCTCTTTTTCCTCGCTCCTATATTTTTATCTCTCTCCTCTTTTTCTCTCTCTCTCTTTTTATCTCTCTATATGTTCTATCTCTCTCTTTTTTCTCTCTCTCTCTTTTTCTCTCTCTCTCTTTTTCTCTCTCTATCTTTTTCTCTCTCTCTCTTTTCTCTCCCTCTCTTTCTCTGGTGTTGCTACCATCTTAAACTTTAACAGCTCCAATTTTGACAGTTCAGAAGAGTTGCAGCAAAAATATTGGGTAATATTAATAAAACAACAAAGCCTTGAGAATTTGCGATGTGCGTGATAAGTTACTTGTTTGCAGTAATAATTAGATCAAAAACTTGATCAACATAAAGATTGCGGCAGGTTATGTTGATATTTTCCACATGCATCTGTATGAATGCGCAGACGCTCTACGCCCACTAGACTTTTAAGAGCACTCCGACAGCCACACCCTCCTTAGCGACAGTATTGGCAAGAAAGGGATACGTGTCTTTCAGGCAGTTTAACCTCCTATCTCTAGGCTTGGTGGTTCTTCGAATACTCCTGTCATTTTTGCCCATCTCTCTCTGTCACAAACTGCTGGCCGCTGTCAATGCGTCGAGTTATTAATGTCAAAGTTTGTTTGTTAATGCCAAAAGCCGGTAAATAACAAAAAACAGTTCAATGTATTTTACAGAAGATAATAGCTCAGAAACTTAACCGTACGAAGAAAACTGCGGCATGGCTGAAGAAGAGCATCCAGAGCACGATAGAAAACAGCCACGCTTTTATCAAGTGGATGTTAGAAATTTGCCAAAATACTACACTATGCCAGTTAGTATTGACAGTATTTGTTATTAACTCTCACTTCCCCGTATATAAAGTGGGCAACTTCTGTGAGCAAAATTAAGTAGAGAAACGTCCTTTTTGCAAGTCATCCAATAATACAGTTTTTATTTGATATTTATTAAGCATATTCCACCATTATCACAACACGTCGAGCAGACATCACACTGTTTCCAAGTGGTCAATGTTTTGCAGAATTTCAATATCATAACCCTAAAAAAACCACATGTAAAATCCTAATATCTACATTAGCCATTATGAAAAACAGTTAAGTACAAATTTAAATTTTCACAAGCATCTCTTTAATTATTGTCGACCCCTCACTAGAAAAAGTAAATTATTTATAGAAGATTCATTTCTCTATTTCCAATTATCAATTTGCTGTAGTTTGTGATGTGTTCTTATTAATATTTCCCTATATTTCTAAAATCGCTTTACATTTTTTTAAAAGGCCTATTCTTAATCCCAACATGTGTCTTTAAATCATGTATGTTTTTAACTTAGTAATCTGTTACAGGACTTTAAAAAGTTGATCAATAAAACATTGAGATTAAATGGGTTCAATTTTAAGTTTTATGGTGGACAGAACAGTCCTCTTGTTTCTGTATGTTTCAACTCGGGAGCTGAGATGGAGAATGCAATTCTTGTAATCAAAAACTATGTGTGGAGAAAGAAGGTGTTATCAGCACAGGTATTTTGATAATAAAATTATAAATATCTTTTAAATCATTACATCTTGATTTATCATAGTGTACTATTATTGATAGAAAAGTACCAACAGCTAATCATATATACTTTGGGGGTAGCTAAACTTTCACAAAAACTTGTCTCATTCACATGATTGGCCCTCCCTGGCAAAAATTGGATGCCAATACATTAAACAAGATTTTAGCACTCTAGAACTACATTTTTTTATGATTTATGAAACTCTTATTTTCTAGCTTGTAAGTGAGGGGCTAACACAGATAAAAAGTAGCATACAGTATTAAACATTAAAAGAGATATAATTTCACATAAAGTTTGTCAGTATTCATTAGAAGTTATAGTATGAAATTATAATCACATAATCTACTGATGTTTCATATATGCAATTTGCATAAAAGGTATTATTGTTTGATTTACATGCTTTAACAAAATTGTTTTTGTATAGAAATCTGCAAGACCACAAAAAATCTCTGAATCACATAAAAGGACTATAGATATGGTTGATGATAATGATGAAGGGAATGGCAGAAGTGATGTTGATGATGATAATGATAATGATGAAGACGAAGATGGTGGACCTAAAAAAATGCAAAGGATGGATCCAAAACTTTCTGATACAGATAAACTAAGAAATGCATTCATACCACTTTGGAAAAAGGAATATAAAGATCAGGTATCAATAATTCTATATTTTATGGACCTTATAGTTATATAATTTCAAGGCTATAAGAAATTGGTAGTTTCCTGAACATACAAGGTATGTGAATAAAGTGTTGAAACTGATTTTTTAAAAAAAAAATTTATCCAAATATAATTACACTTTTATATTATCACCCTCATAACAACTTCATTCTTGAACGACACATTGCTGGAAATAGTCTTTCCACTCCTCAGCAGTGCTGGAACTCCGATACTGGAATAGCCTTCAGCCAGTTAGTTACAGCTGTTTGAATGTTTTTGGCTGTCAGAAAGTGAGTTCCTTGAGATGATTTTCCAACTTCAGTAAGAGAAAAAAGTCACAAGGACTCAAGTCGGGCGAATAAGGAGGCTGAGGAGCCACAAGAATGTTTTTACTGGCCAAAAACTCGGTTTTTGACATTGCAGCGTGAAAAGATGCAACACCCAGTAGTTCTTGATCTGATGAATGATGATGAGAGTCAAATTTAACTTTTCCCAATCATTCTGACTTCAACCGACGATCTGAACAGACAAGATCCCAAATTCTGTCGATATTTTCATCAGTTCTCATAGATGAAAACCTTATGCTTCATGGCTCATCTTCAATCAACTCTGTTTCTTCTGAAAATGCCTTAAACCACCAAAAAGCCTAAGATCTTGACAAAAGACTATCTCCATAGTCCTGTTAAAACTTAGCAAGCATACCATTGCTCAAAATTAATGCCATTCATTTTTAGAACACAATAGAAAAAACTTTTAAACTGAAAAATTGCTACACACAACCTAATGACTCGAGCGAGTTCAAACTTGTACTGAAGGTGCATCACATTTTCCCCTGTCTAAGCCTGGCGCCAGATCAAATGCTATATTGCCAGTCTCATCACTTAATTTACAGATCTGATATGGTGAAAATTCAATAGGTTACCCAATACCTACTATATATATTTCATCCTTTATTGAAAAGGTAAAAAATATGGTCAAAAGGAATACGAGCATTTTTAAATTACCATTGTATCCAAAATGAAAGTGTTCAAATTTTTGATACCTCTCCAGTTACTAGAAGACTTTTTTTTTTATTTGAAAATTGGTATAATTGCTGGAAGCAATTCAGTAAAAAAAGAGTCTGATATTTTCAAACAGCTCTTCTAAAATAGGAAGCTATGTCTCTGAAACTTTTATGCACAAAAAAAAATAACTGAACATCACTTGCATAATATTTGTATATACCCGTTTTCATTACAGCTAGCTATGAAACAAATGCAAGCTTGGAGGATCTTTAAAGAAGTGGCTAATGAGCTCAAAAAAGTTAACCCTACATTAACGGAATGGATAGAACAGCAGAAAAATCTTCATGATGATATGCCTTGTGAATTGCTGGACGTGAGACATGGAAATAATCCCACAGGGTAAAGAATGTTTTGCTATTCATTCATAAATTCTGTGAGTGTTTTTAGGTATTTGTTTTCTCTCATAAACTAGTATCAGTTATAATATTACATGTTTACACAACATGAAGATAATAGGAATAATGCTTTGAATGAGGTTCTTAAAATACTCCTAAAATGATTAAGTATAGTACAGCAGTGAAAAATATTTTTGAATATTTTAAAAAATGACAAAGTTACGCTACCCAGAAGTTTGGAGAATCGTCTTGCTGGAGCGTAACTGAGTGATGACGCCACATTACACTAGCTACATCACTATCACAAAGTGATGCGCACGCTTCATGCCATTTACAAACATTGCTCTACTTTTTATTTACGATTCTCAGTAAAAAATAGGTCAGATCTTCATCTTACAGATACTGTATTGTATAGTTCACGACAGACTTATAGTGCCAGCTTACGGTTTTTATCGACGATCGCCATAAAACTGAATATTTATTATCAAATACTTAGCTCTTATTGTCTTATTTTTTTCCAAGTCAGTGTAGCCATTCCACTATACGCCTGTTTTGCATAACTGCAAATCTTTGTTAATAGGGACAAACTTGAAGCCCACCTCTGACAGCCACTTTTGGAGTGTCTTCATGGAACAAATCTCGCCGCTTCCCATTAATTTCCGATATACCATGTCTGCTGTGGGAATTTAATTGCCTTTATAATGGTCATATACCACTTTCCTTATTTTGGCAGCTATTACTGCACTTAAAGGCTTAGACGTCCTCTTATCAGATCTCTTTTTTCTTCGTTTTAAATCAAGCCTCAACAAAGTTTGCGGAAATACGTTTTTTTTTATTAAAAGGATGCCGCACTTGTATATCCTTCACAATGGTGGCCTTTTTGAACGTTTATTGAAATACAGCTTTGATTATCTAATTTGTTTTTTTTTATTTTTACGAAATCAATGCACTCTAGGAATTAGAGGAAGACAACAAGAGTATTTGTGGCAAATTGAAGGTAAAATTCGAAAAACTGAGCGTTTCGAAAAAAAACAGTGGCGTACTATTTTTATTTGGAAAAATAATGCCTCTAATCCCCTGGATCTTCGCCCCTGGTGCACGTTACTTTTGGGTAAAGACTTTTGAATGTGGACAATACTTAGTTAAATCCACATATCAAATTTTAGTTCATTCCAATTGACGGTTTTGAAGATATTAAAAAAAAGTTTTTTATTTTCAAACTTCAACACTCTGTATCTTTTTATTGAAAGCTGTCGCGGAAAAATGTTATATAGAAGACCCCCCCTTAAAATACGGTCCTGTGTATAATGTTTCATTTTTGGTCACGACTTGTGAATCACCATATATACAGGATGTTCCTTAATGTTATGCGAATATTTAAGGGTGTGAATCTCCATGAAAAATTATGTCAGTTTGCTTTATAAACTATGGTCCAAAAATGTTTCCTTACAAAAACTCAGGGAGTTGAAGTTTTAGGAAAAAATAACCTTGCAAAATATTATTATTCTCCGTAACTGCCGAAGGTTCTTATTTCAATAATGGAACACGAATAAAGATCATCCACGATACTATTTAACCATTATTAGGTACACCCTTGGAAGATTACCTAGATCGGCAGTCAGGAAACGTTCTTCCATTTCAATTATGATGTATCTATAATATCGCACAACAGTCTATGCCAAGATATAAACAATAACCTGCGACTGGTCAACTATATCCTCAAAGATGAATGCAATATGCGAGGCCCGTCGCATCGTCTGACCACGGCCGTCAGTGCCGAAGCTGAACGTGTATGTCACGTCACGGTTGAAACTTCGACGCATGAGTGCGATAGGCGACAGCACCCAACACAAAAAATGTTACACCTTCCTTAAATTTTCAAGCTATCGGAATAATTCTTACAGATTTGTCAAAGATTCCAGTTATACTATTATATGCGAGTATTTTCGACTATAGGAAACTTCCTGATTCTGGTCTTATAATCTTATTCGACCCCCAGGTATAGAAACCACTGCGTTTTCAACATTGGCCTTGATCCAAAGACTGAACAAGCGTCTGTTGGCTTCAAATTGAACACGTATATCAATGGCTTCAAAGCTATAGCCCAGCCTGATGGCCTGATGCATATCCCAGAGAAAATCATAGTTGCTGTCAAGGTAAAGTAGAAGTGTAGGTAGAAAATGTCAGGCACAAAACTGGGTCAATTTTAATGAAGATTAGTATAGCGAAACGTTTTCTATTTGAGATACAGGATGTGGTGTCTGTGGGTATGCTTGCCTACATCATTTTACGTGAATACATACAATACTTAACAAATGTACTTATCTCCTTATGATATTTTCTAAGGTTTAAAAACAACTTCAAATACCAAAATTGACAAAGACAACATGAGAAAATTCGGGATCATAACTAATAATACTATATTGCATGTCAGCGCAAAAAAGGAGGGTTCTATTGTGAATCCCTTACCCCACTTAAAATAATAATAATAATTCTCTTCTCACGATTTATTAATAATTGTTAATTTAAAATTCCCATTAATTAAAATATAGTTTATTCAACTGCCTCTGGTCGGTTTAACAATTTCTTACATAACATTCTGAAAATCACATCATCTGAAGTGATTCGGCAACGTTTGGCACACGCCCACAATTCGTTCCATCTTTCAACACAGACATTGACAACCTTCGGCCTTCTGTCAAAGGTTCATCTCACTCATTATTCCATGACCACCATTTTGTGCAATCATCAAGTGGCTTCATGACGTAATGCTCTAATGTTTTTTAAATAATTTTTAATCTGTTTTTAACTTGTCTTGTCATATTTTATGTAATTTTGACCATTGTACCATGTATCCAGCTCTCACCATGTTACTGGACGTTTCCCTCATCCTATACGTAAACAACAATTAGCAACATCCTCACATACTACTACTACTTTGCTTAAATTTTGTCGAAGTACCCAACAAAAGGCGGAAGCTTTAATTTTTCACCTATATATATATATATATATATATATATGTTGAGGTATATATCGTATTTAGGATATTTGATATATCGATCTTTTTGAGATTCTTTGCGTCCCTTATTGTCATTGAGTTACGCCATTTTTGTGGGGGTAAATGGACACCCCAAAGTGTGGGGCTCTTCTATAAAGACTGTGTAATCCTACCAAAAAATATTTCAGCGACACAAATTTTCATAAAAATTGGTATGTTTTGTGTTTGGTATTTTCTCCTAAGGATTGAAAATAGGTAAAATGAATATTAATTAATAATTCTGATTGGTGTAAAACTTATAGGAAAAATTCTGCATAGATGATCTACATCAACGAGCAAGGCAGGGATACCTGAAATACGTTGAACTTTTTCCACATTGAACTATTACTGTTATACACTCGTTTGCGAATAATGTGCAAAATCTGTTCTAGGCATTCCAAGACATGCTGAGGACTAGAATGAACCGACAGGATCTGCGGTATCCAGCAGAAATAATTATAAGATCGTCCAGGGATCAGCTGTTATTATTAATCAATCAATACCCTCGTAGTCGTCCTCAAGAGGACAGGGAACGGTTCGAGAAAATTACCATAGATTACTTCAGCAATGGACCGGGAAAATCTTCCGGTGTTACATCTTTGTATACAAAGCGCGAGGGAAAGAGGTGGGTAAATTAGAAACGACTTTGGGGGCATGCTATAGAACGCTAAAAGCGTGACGCTTTTATGGCCAGAATGTCCAGATAACCGGCAACCGTGTCAAATACACCGACGATTGGTCAAATAAGCTATTTGAAGTTAGGAAAAAATTGAATTTCAAGCAGATGCCTTTTGACGCCAACTCCACCACGGACGTCCCTCAACGCCTGATCTCCGTCGATTCACAGGGGGCACTATGCTGCGAGTAACATTCAAGCGACCGTAAGGCTTGTGCTCTTGTCGCTCGACATCAACAAAGCTTCTGCCGTTGTATTGGGCAGGTGTGGAGCGGAGCTTGCTCCAGTTCTTTCGCGTCTCTTCCGATTCCGGCACCCTGCCAGAAAACTGGAAATCTGCTCATATCCAACCCATCCCAAAAAAAAATCTCTTACAACAACAGGCCTATATCTCTGCTTTCTCTAAGGTGACGGAGATGTGCATAAATCGCGAGCTTGTGAACTACCTCGAACGTCACGAGGTGATTAGCAACAGGCATCAGCAATCCACATTTACGTCACGCAGTCCTGGAGTAAGCTCAACCAGTTTTATGGTACGGCTAATATCATTGCTCTTGATATCACGAAAGGGTTCGATCAGCTGTAGCATGCTGCCCTCCTATGCAAAATTCCAGCCTATGGCCTCCCAAAGAAGCTTTACAGATGGGTGGCTGACTTTCTCCGCCCGCAAAATATCCGTCGTAATTGACGAGTTCTCCTCTTCCTCCCACATCGTCAACCCGGGTGTTCCCCAAGGATCGGTCTTGGCTCCGTCAGTTTTCCTGTTACATATCACCGACCTCCTGTCCTGTATGGTCAATCCAATCCACAGCTTTGTTGAAGGTTGCACCCTACATGCAGGAATGCAGAGTGACAAGCCCATCTCTGCCTGTGAGCTGGAAAAAAGAAGACTAGCAACGACAACCTTTCTGATGTTAGACCTGGAGGTTATCGCTGCTGACGAACAAAAAGCGTCCTAGCGCTCATGGGCTTTCGATGGATGGCCGAGTTCTGCCAAAGCGCCGTTCATGTCGGCTGGTCGGAGTCCAGAACACCGAGAACATGATGTGGCACGAACACATCTCGTCAATAGCGGCAGCTGCTGGAAAAAATCTAGTCTATTTGTTTAGGGCTTCTTCACATGACCTCCTAACTCTATACAACTCCCAGATAATACCTAGCATCGAGTAATGCTCGCATGTTTGGGGTGCTGCTGTCCCAACTACATTACCCATGCTCAATGCTGTTCAAAGGAGGGCTGACCGACTGATCGATAACTTTTCCCTAACAGACAGTCTCGGGACCCTTTCGCACCGGAGGCCGTCGGCGATCTAGCTCTCTTCTACCGCTACATCAATGGTCTTTGCTCTTTAGAGCTCTCCTCCGTGATATCGCCGCGCGATAAGCCTGCCAGGCAAACCCGCCTGACTTCGGCCTCCCATCGTAACCGTGTCGAACTTCGAACTGGCCGCTACGGTCGCTCCTTCGTCCCTAGTGTGTCGAGATTGTAGAACAATCTACAACAGGAGGCGTATTAACCTTAGTTCAGAAATCGGATTAACAAAGTTACTGTGGGATCCTCATAACGGCCTCAGTGCCCTGACATTTAGTCTTTTACCTGCGCGGTTGATTCGGTGTAAAAAAAATTATTTCTCTTTTGTTCTAAACTAAATCGCGTATGGCCCTATAAATTTAATAGCTATGTTATTACTTAAAGGTTTTGAGAACAACTTCTGTTTTCATAAATCGGAAAGCACCCGCAAGTGTAACTTTATGAAAGTAGAAGTTATTCTCAAAACCTGTAACTTATTACATAACTATTTAACTTTTAGGACCATACGCGGAATCTTACATAGCTTAGTTTAGAAACAAAATGAAAATGTCTGCTTGGAATCCAAAATTTTTCCATCCTCAAACTGCTTATGTGACGAATCGTCGCTGTATTGTACATGGCTGCCAATTATCTAGGCATCCTGGTCATAATGCGAATAACAGGATGCATATGTTGATTTTATACGAACATTAAATGCACAGCGCTAGTATAATACAATGTGAGGAGCGGTTGCTATAGATGTTTGGATATCGAGTGCTATGAACTCCTCATTTAGATCGGCTATGAATGTCTGACTTTACTGCGCTCAACGCGAGCACGGTGAGGCAATTGTTGTTCGTATGGGTCTTTCTTATTTTCGGTAACGAGAAAAACTATTCTCTAGAAGATATATCAAACACTTTATAAATTAAGGTCACGACCATGGTAGGTAGCGTTGATTCTACGGTCGTGACTCCTATGGTTGCGACTATTTTGAACCATGTCTCAACTGTCGTGAATCTATTTACACGATTCATGACAAATCTTAGGTAGCAGCGGGGGCGTATTTAGTAGACATGCGCCCTGCGCCTGGGCGGGTTTGAATCCCATACCAAGAGAATTTTTTTATTGGCTATGGAAATTGTGATTGCCCGCAGGTGGTCACTAACTGTCGAACGTTAAACGCGGATCTCTAAGGCGGGACCAAAATGTCTGCATGGTGCATGCACACGTGTTTGCTAGCTAGAATCCGTGTGCATCCCCCTTTCCCTGTATCACCCGATAGCCCCACGCTACCCCATGGGTGATTAGACGTTCGTGGTAGTTGGAGTATAAAAAAATATTACATGGATATATAGTACTATAACAAAGTTCTTTCTCCCTACTGAGATAAATTCAGCTAACTTCAATAACTTGAAAGGAATCTGCATGATGACTTGGCGAAGCATTTTAATCAATCAATGATTTTTCAACTTTGTAGCGTATGTTTGATGAAATTTCACTTCTTTAATCAAATTGAAATGAAAATTTACTAAACTATTTTTTGTTGTCAGGGTGCAAAATTACTACTTGTGGGGCGAGCGGTTATTCTACGAATATCCGCTAGATCTGACGATTAAGATATTTCCCGATGGGTTTTATCCCACTAACAGTGAAGCTGCCCAGATATTCTACAAAACAGCGCTCGAGTTTGTAGGACCTGTGACGAATTCTACTGTTATCGATTTGTGCTGCGGCCTTGGTACTTTGGGCCTTTGCTTTGCGAAGGTATTTAATATTGGTTACTGACCATCTATATTTGATTTTGAAAATTATCCACATTTTTAATGAAGACAGTCATTCAGTGAATTCGTTTTCGTTCAAAATATGTTCCTCACAATATGCTACTTGACTAACATCTAATTTCATAGAATATGTATTTCTTATAGTATTTGTCTTATGAAAACCAAATATATCGATTTTAATTTTTAAAAGCGCCAGATGGATATGTAATACCGATTTAAAAAAAATGTATTTTTTATTTTTAAAACGAAACGGTAATAATGCGTTGAACCATGATGCGTTGACATACAAGTTGTAAAAAAAGAAACGTCATCCATCACTCGTGGACTAACATAGTATTCTTTGGTTATTTCTTAAAAAAACTCTAAGGAACGTAAAAAGCTATCGTTTTATTAAAAAAACATTCATGGTCGTTGGATTCGTAAAAGCAGAAAGCACAAAATTGACAGATTATTGATGGTTGGTTAATTTGTTTTGCCTCCAACCCAGATTTCTGCTCTTCTGACCTTACTTCTATGTAAGTACAGTCCATCTGATATACTGATAGACATATAAAAAGAAAAAACAAGTAATACACTTACACAATCTTCCTTTTCAGAAATCATTCAAAACTAAGCTCATATGTCATAACCTCTGAATAATTTTTTCTAAAATTTAATTTCTTCTTACACATCTGCAAGGGAATCGTACGGTGATGATGCTATAAATTACGTCAAACTCAAACAAGATGATAAAATCTGCGCAGTAAAATGTAAAATATGTTCTGAACATAAGGTATGCTCCAAGCAAAACGCAGTGTTTATTTTCCTGGGCACTCTAGTCCACAGCTTTCCCAGGGTCTTTATCGATGTGCTTTTACATTAACGGTCGGTACAATAACGATAATTACTATATTTTTTATGCAAAACTGGTAGAAATCATGTTTACTTGTTTAAAGGTTTGAGAAGTTGTGCGGCTGTCAACTGCTGTTTACAAATGGTATGTCAGAGTACATTAAAATGGACCAAACATGGCGGACAGCGTTTTCGCCTTTCTAAGAAAAATATATTTTTAAAACAAAGTTTTACGGTTTTTTAAGTCCGAAAAAATATAGTATTGTATTAAGACCTACTTAAAAAAAGTGTCAACTGTCCAATTCTGACGTACGTATTTGTAACATCACCTACATTCGCATATCTTCGAGTGAAATGATCCTAACAGGAAAGTGATGTGATTCTCATGAGATCTTTCGCACCTTATTTGACAGATTGTTCGTGTTGTAAATGCTGCATTGGCTCTTAGGATGAATGTTAAATAATGAAATTATAAGTAAGCAACATAAATATTGTAATAAACTGATTTCGCATTCACATTTTGACTATAACGGACAAATCACACTACATCGTATTTCTAACAGACGGAAACCTCCAAATAAGTACTGCTCTATAATTTACTTTTATACGCAGGATACGTTTAACTATATTGTAAAAATAATAAAGGTGTATTGGTTTTTGATGCTACACTGAATGTTATGTATGATGTTGAGAGCTACTTTCAGAAACAGTCGCGGACAAAAGTTTGGAAACAAATATCAACATTATTATGAACTATTTCATATACTCGCATGTAAATCAAAATTGTGAAGGAACAGATTATATAAATATTAAAGACTACCTTTGGGTCCCGTACTAATACAAGGTTTATCTTATCAATATTCAAATTATTATACATATATATATATATATATTATTTTTTTAAATACCACCGTTTTTGTAACGACAAAAGTATGGAAACATTTCAGTTTTGCCCTAATTATTCGTTCTGCGATACTTTGACATTGCGTGCGGTAAATATTAACATTAGTGAGAATGCAAAAGTAAAAGACTTTTCAAAAGATTTAAGAGACAAAGTAATTGAATTATTTAGAAGTGGTGTCAGAAATGTTGACATTTTGTAGAGATTCAAAATGAACAAACGGACGATTTCGAAAATTATTAGTAAATATCAAGAATACGGATCGACAGCAAGGCGGCAAAGGTGTGGAAGACTGAAAAAAACGATTATGTTTTGGATCGCTGCATTAAACGTTTGTCCCATGAAGATCCTCGAATGCCAACCTCGCAGATTTTCAAAACAATCGTGGAAGAGGGTGACGAGAATATTTCTGTCAGGACTGTGCAGAGACGCTTGGTGGATTTTGGGCTTTTTGATAGGCGTCCGGTGCAAAAGCCTCTCGTTTGAAAAAAAAATCTTATTGCTTGGTTTGAATTTGCTAAAACTCATCTAACTTGGACAGAACAACAATGGAATACAGTTTTCTGGAGCGATGAAAGCAAATTTAACTTGTTCGGTTCGGTTCTGACGGTACGGCATATGTGAGACGTCCAATACGAAAAAGATTCGACAAAAAGCATCAGTTGCCAACAGTTAAGCACGGTGGAAGCAACATCATGGTTTGGGGCTGTTTTTTCTAGTTCTGGAACGGGTCCAGCTGCTAAAATTGTTGGGAAAATGGATTAAAAACTTTACAAAGATATGCTTTTACAATGGGCATTCCAACAAAATAATGACCTCAAGCATTCCCCAAAATTCTTAAAGGACTGGTTAAGACTAAAAAATATTAATGTTCTTACATGGCCTTCGCAATCCCCGGACATAAACCCTATATAACATCTCTTTGAGCATGTTAAAAGACAACTGACAAGAAAAACTTTTGAAAACAGGAACGATTTATTTGATTATATAAAAAATATTTGGCAAAATCTCCCAACAGACGTCTGTAAAAAATTGGTGTTTTCTATCAGCAGTAGATGTCAGGCATTGTTGAATGCTAAAGGCTATGCTACCAAATATTAGCTAAACAGTATTTTTTAAATCTTTTTGTAGAGTAATGGTATTTAATTTTGTAATAAAAAATATGTGTCCATACTTTTGTAGTCTCATTTTTGGCCATAAAATAATATGAAGGTATTTTAATGCTAGTCTGTAGTACCACAGCAAACACAAATTGTCATTTGTATCCTCAAGACTAAGCAAACTATATGATAAAAAAATAGTCCTTAATAATGAAGAATAAAAAATTAGCGCACTTTTTAAAAATTACTAAGAATGTTTCCAAACTTTTGTGCGCTACTGTATGTATCATTAATTTGTAGAACTGCAAACTAGTTCTTGGGGTGGACACAGTAAAGATGTGCACACAGTATGCTATAGAAAATGCGGGAAAAAACAAAATAAAGAATGCATCATTCTACACTGGCAAAGCTCAAGATCTTGCAGGGCAGATGTACAACAAAGCTTTAGGTGATGATGTGGTGGTTGTTTGTGACCCACCTAGGTCTGGTTTACGTAAGTGAATCATTTATCTATTTTAGTTTACTTTGTATGCACGTCTATCGTATTCAATTTGATGGTTTAGTTTAAACTCTAGTTTTGGATCTGTTAAAGCAAGGTTTTTGAAGTGTTTTTGCTTACTTTGACAGATTTATATGAATCTACTATCCCAACCATATCATTTTCATCAGTATTCTGAGATATTTAATTTGTATTTTTAAACGGTTTTTCCATAGTGCCCGGTGGGAAAGTTCACTTTTTGATTAAAGAAAGAAAATACAAGCTTAACGAACAGAAAATATTTATTACTATCAACATATTCGTAGATTCGGCGGGTTTTATTTCTTGAATATTGATCCAATGTTTGCCATCCCTTCTGACACACTCTTCTAGGCGCGCGCGCAAATCATGAAACACTTGCAGAGTTCCGGAGTGATGGTTATTTCTTGTCGAATGTTGTCCTCCAGTATTCATGGATTATTGGAATACACTTTTAACTTTAGATTACTCGACGCACATTTGCTTCGGTTTTTACAGTAGGTGTGGAGCCAGAAATGGGTTGACTAAGAGTAGAGCCTGTTGCACAGGACCTCTTAATCCACTTTTTCAATAGGCTCTTACTTGCGCCATCTCTTAGTCGGTGAATGTTGTAGCGTGTACAAAATTTCCGAGGGGCAACTGCATATGAATCGCCACTCTTGAAGTAAGCTTCGATAGCAAAAGCACGTTGCGCTCCGGTCCAACTTTTCATTGTGAGTATTTAACCCGCACGACGAACGCGTCGATCAAGACCTCTCCCCGTGTACGGTTGCCGTGTAATTCAAATTTGCAATGTGAATTTTCCCACTAGACCCTTACATTTTAATTGCAGATGAGAAGGCTATTTTCCATATAAGAAACAGCCCTAAGATCAAGAAGATTTTGTATGTGTCCATAAACCCGAAATCAGGCTTGAACGTGTATAAAAACTTGGCGAAGGCGCAATCTAAGAAAGTGCATGGCGACCCCTTTGTTCCCACAAAAGCTGTGCCTCTTGATATGAATCCACATACCAACGTAACGCACATCATTAGCCTCTGGGAGAGGTGGAGCATAGTGAAAAACAGAAACCAACAACCAGTGAATGTGGACAAATGTTCCCAGATCGACTTAACTTAGATAATAATGGACAAGGCGCTTGAAATAAATTCAGATGCTAATATGAAACACGCGAAAGCGTCCAGATACTATGTTTAAAAAAATTTGTTTGTTTATTCTTCAGTTTTTACGCATTTTTGACAAATACGTGTTCACATCCGAACAGGGGTCATGAAAATCTTTTGAATCTGCTTCTGATATCATTTGAGACACTGGACTATTTGTCACGTAAAATACAGATCCGTGTTGGGAGTGTGTTACGAAATATTCAAAAATGTATTTACAAGCTTACATCAGAAATATATTGCTTGTAAAGTCAACTTTTATGTATGATTTATTTAGCAGCTAAGAATTAACATTGTACTTCTTCACTGAAAATAGTCGAAAACTGGTTAAAATAATTATTTGAAAACTATTAAACTTCATTTATGATGTTTAATGCGTTTTTGAACTGCTATTCGCCGAAAGGTATATGACTTTTACTATTAATAATCAGAATAGGAAATTTATTTTTATTTTGTAGAATGTTATATAGTTTTTATTGTTACACAAACCAATAAAGTATTCTTACAATTGTCTCCTCTATACTGTTCACCAAAATATGTTTTTATTTCCACACAGGATATACACGAATATGAGTATAAAGCAGCTTTTTTCTGAATAGCAGGTAGCGATAATTTTTGTATTGTCAGATATTTAGATAATGCATGTGATTGGTAGGAATCAGCAGAATGGAACATGACGTGACTTAAAATATTCCAGAAACGATCAACAAAAAATAGTTATATGTATTGCTGGACCTATTTGGGGGCCCCTGGAACCTTAAAACTTGAATTCCGAGGCTCACAACTCAGCAAAATTGTTTTGAGAATCATAATACAGGGTTGGCCGAAACGTACCTGACTGGTTTGTATCTTGAATATTAATTTGTGAAATGAAATAAAATACTTAAATTTTTTTCATCCTAATATAGAAATTAATCGCTTCCGTAATGTTGTTCTTCAGCTGCTCTACAGTATTTGGTTTATTGGCATGAACCCTATTTTTCAAAAATCCTCTTAAAAGAAGTCGGGAGCCGTTAAATCCGGTGACTTTGGTGTCCAGTTGACATCACCAAATCGAGAAATTAAACGTCCCTGAAATATTGTTCGCAAAAGATGTATCGCATGTTGAATTGTTTGATTTGAGGAGCCAGAAAGTTTTGCACCAAATCACATTAGCGCTCGCCAGTGACTAAGAGAATTACCTGCAACGTCCTCAAAGAAGTAAAGTCCATTGACTCTTCCATATCAAACACCGCACCAAACTGACTCGACGATGATGCAGTGGTCGTTGATAGATGACACGAGGGTTCTCTAATGCCGAGACAATTCTGCTTATTAACAAATCCGTTCATATCGCTTCATCAGTTGGTAAAAATCGTTATTTTAGGTATTAAGCTGCAATATTGCATAACTGCATTGTCAGCGACTTTCATAGTCACTAGGCTGTAGTTCTTGGGTTAACTGAATTTTGGATGGCCGCAAATGCAAGCCTTTTTTTAAAATAGGGCATACTGACACATACCCAGTTCTTGAGAACGATGTCTGGTAGACGTCTCAGGGCGCTCCACTACATTTACACGAGCTCAAACACGGCCCGACCTTAGCAAGTCTTTAAATCTTGTCGTAGCTCCCGAATCGTTGCAAAAATCGACTCATTATTTAAGTAAAACGTTTTAAAAATACGGGCCCGTTGTGGGATCGTGTAGCGCTCCATGATGAATTGGACACATGTGCTTTAAACAACTACTTCGGCGCCACCTAATGAAATGCGTGTATCAAAAATAGCGCGCAATTTGAATCGGTCAGTTATATGTAATATAATTGTGGATAAATAAAGACGTCTATTATTATTATATATTGGCCACTCTGTATAATCATGACAGAGAAGTATGGGGATCAAAACCAATGAGTTCTCATCTCACTGGCCTGAGATTGTTTTCCCCTTGAAAGGCTGATTAGCAATTTGGGTAATTATTAGATACTAAGATATGACGAAAACACTAAAAAAATCCACGTAAATTTTATGCAAACATATTTTTTTATCATTTTCCCCGTATTACCGCCCATTGCGTCTACTCCTAAGAGAAATAAGCGGAGCCATCAAAAAGGATAAAATCATGTACAGAGAAACCCAAATATCACTGACGAGGTAATGTGTACGAGAGAGAAGCGTGCAATACGTATGTTAGAAAGCGCGCCGATGGCAAGTCGCAGCTGCGTCCGTAGCCTCGCCACTCGGGTTGCCAGACAACGTGGTGCTTCTATCTCTTTCTAACATACGTATTGCATGCTTCTCTCTCTTACATATTACGATGTTAGTGGTAAATGGATTTCTCTGTATAGATAAGTGGTGTAAATTCATTGGGGGTCCAAGCGTAATCAAGAACCGCAGCGCCCTCAAGGTACCCTGGTAATCTTAGATAACAAAGATTGATTCCACATACTACTTGCTTACAAATAAATATCAAGATAAACTCTCCGCCCCTAGGGAGGGCTAAAAAGTCTAAACGTCATAATTGGTCACTTAAGAAGTTGGTGTGCTGTTTCGTTGAGCAAATATAAGTTTGAAGGCGATAAATCTCGTCAAGAATTATCGTGTGTTGATGTGGGAGACTAGGGGCTGAGGATGGCTCATGTAAGCTAAATAAATTATTATTGGTAGATATTGAAAAAATATTCATTTGATTTTTCACCCAGGAATATTTTGACGTCAAAACCGCCCGTCAACCTCCATCCTTTAAGCATTTGTCAGATGCAAAGATCAAAGAAAGCATTTTTGATGATCCTGACTTAATGCAAGATGGTTTTTTACACCGAAGCAGCCGCGGAGGCAAATCCTAGATGCTAGGGCACCGTCACTGCTACGAGGAGCTTAAAGAAATTTTGTTAATCCGATTTTTGAATTGTCTAAGGTTAGTACAACTGGGAAAAGCCTCCTCGTGTAGATTGTTCCACAATCTTGATACCATAGGGACAAAGGAACGGTTGTATCGGCTAGTTCTGGATATGCGAAGAAAAGAGCTAGAAATGCCTTTTTTAAATATCTCAATTATTATTTTTGTCGTAGTACATTCAAAAATTTTAATAGTCGAAAATACTATACCAATAACCAATGAAAATTTTTCTATACACACTGAAAATATGTATCAGATTAGTGCTTGAAAATCCATACACATTTACGAAAAATATTAGATATTCCATCAAAATATAAAATTGATATTTAAAAATCTTCCCTCATGTATTTTCTAAATATTTGGAAAAAATATCGCAAAAATATATGGATTATATATACTACAAATATCTATAACGAATATTTTATAAATATATAAAAAATATATTTATTAACTACTAAAAAATCTGTCGCTACAAATATATAACAAACATTTTTTTGAATATTTAATGCTATGGGGGATCGGCTGTCGCTCTGAATTCCTGCTTGTAGGGTTCTGTCATCAGCAAAGCTGTGGATTGGATTGATCGTACAGGAAAGGAGGTCGTGATATGTAAGAACAGCACGGAGACAAGACCGATTCCTGCGGAACACACGCCTTGACGTTGTGGGATGAAAAGCAGAACCCGTAAATTACGACGGATATCTTGCGGCCAGAGAGTCAGCCACCCATCTGTAAAGCTTCTCTGGGAGGCCATAGAATGGAATTTTGCATAAGTAGACATTATGCTACAGCCGATCGAATGCTTTCGTGATATCAAGAGCAATGACTTGAGCCTCACCTTAACACATTCAATGCTAAGACATTGTTGACAAACTTCACGGACGGACGGTGCATTTGTTTGGAAATAATTCCGTTAAAATATTGCAAATATGTCTCCTATATAATTACAATACAATAAACACCTCCCCTGGGGTATTTTTTTCTGTGACGCAAAAATATTTAGAACGAAAGTTAAAATTACATCGTGAACCACCTGATGCTGCACACTTTCCTTCTTTTTGCGGATTTTGCCCATTATTTTCCAATTTTTTGTTATTTACACAAGTACCCATCTGACATTTTTGTGTTAGTCTGCAACATTGGCAATAATGAATCAGGTGTAAATCTAGTAAAACTTGTTTGTAGCATTGTTTTTTGTATGCAAATGAAGTTTTCTAAATAATGAAAGAGCTTTTAGCAAGTACAACATAAATCTGTAGTCAAAAAATATCGCTCTATCAACCTGGTATTGATGGATCCCTCAGAATTGTGTCATTTGTCAATATGGAGAATTTTGACATATTACCAGATAATTAGCAGACATTCTACTATAATGGATACTCATGACCAACTACTGCTAGATATTGAAGAGATGAACCAGAAATAAAAAACAAAGGATAAAAATGGACAGAAATTTTGAAGCAACTATAAAAAGATATCAAGTCTTTGATAGCATCACTTTTAACTACTACAGTTGTTTAAAGTTTATTTTTACAGAAAAGACTTTTTATGTTTACATGAAAACTTTGGCAGCTTAGTGTACCATGAAGAGGGTAAATGTACGGTTACCAAAATAATTATATACAAATCAGTTAAAACTTACTTTTTACCTATGTATTGCTTAGCAATGATTATTACAATACTGACAAATATTTTGATCCTTAGTTATGAAGCTTGTGATAAATGAAAATTATATATTTTTCAAATTTTTATTATTTTTTTGGATTGTTACATTTAACAGAGTCAAATTTTATACAAAAACAGAATGGAATAAATGTAACATTTTTGAGGCTATATTATTAAAAATTTGAATTTCATGTCCTGAAAATTCTTCATGGTGGAAGGATTTTGATGATGTGAAACTCCTGAAATTAAGAAATAAACTTTAGTGTGCACATTAATAAACAAAAAAAAAGTATTTAGTTAATTTTAAGTAATTCCATGAATGTTTTGTGGTTCTAGACTAGTTTTAGCTATTCAATATAGCTATAACAGAGGGATACCACAAATCGATTTCCCCTCACAAACTATCATCATTACTATGAATTAGAATGACAATGAACAAAGTAAGGGATATACTAAACTCAAAAAAAATTCTCTCTATTCCATGACTATAAAAAAGGTATTCTCTAGCTTAGTTACACCAGCCTTATTTATTTCTCTGTGTCTGATTGGACACTAAGTTTTAGGATGGAAATGAGAAAAAAAAATGCTTGTAAATCGGTTAGTTGGAGAATATTCCCAATATTATCTAGGCAATATATAAAAACAATCAAGACATTTGCAGAATGGAAATGTTCCTATACATACAACAACACTGCATACTGAAATATAAGAACTAACCAAAATATGCATGCACACACCAAAAGTGCATTTAATGCTATGCAGGACAGTAGAGTTCAAAATCATGAATACAAATTTAATTATCACTAACATGAACACATTTAAAGCAATAGCAACACTAAATCATGTTTTTATGACTAATGGCTAGTGTAGCTAGGTACTGTTTTATCTAAAAATGTATGGTACTCTACGACTGCAAATGTGGAAGTTTTGCAATATTTTGGCCAACCAAGTGGTTTTATCTGGGGGCCAGTAGATCATCTGAGACCTGCATAATAGACTCACATAAATGATATTTTGAATTAAAACTTAAGGCAAATGTTACAGTATCAATGGACTTCTACATAACCTATAATCAATAATTACTAATTTTCAGGATCGGCAGAGAAGAAATATCACATTCCTTGATAAATACTGGTGGATCCCAGTAAATATCAATCATGTGACATTCATCTAAGGGAGAACGCATATAATATTAAGTGCTGCCTAGGAGGAACAAGATTATTGGTTCTCCCTAAGTTCTAACATAAAAGTTACATGCATCCAGCATTACAAAATATACTTACAAATTCTAGTAGGTGGGACATCTACTTAGATCTCGCACGCATCTTCCTGCGTTTACGCTTTAGCCTTCGCATTCTCTTCTTACGCCACTAAAATGAAAAATTGAATTTTATCCCATCATGCTTTCCTCTCGTATGACCAAGTCATATTTATCAACCGATACCGTTTTATGAAGCAAATATATGACTCTGAATGAAGAAACCGCAAATGCTAATACCATACAAGCTAGAGGGGCCACTTTGTTACGGTATATTTCAGAAGATCAAGTATCACAATGTGCTATGTTCTTAGACTGAATCTGACATTGAAAATTCAGAACAGGTGGAACCACAACTATTTTGATATATCCCTCATTTTGTTAATATAGATGTGCATCGAATTACACATTTATTTGGAACAAAACGAGGGAAACTCTCAATCGGCATGCTTTGACCCACGTTTACCAGAATAGTCATTATTACCATTATGGAAACTAAATAAAAAGAAATAACAAAAATACCAAGAAAACTTACCTTCGCTCTCATGTTTTTGCTTCTAAAGAAGCTCCAGTTTCAGAAAAACTGGAGGATTCTCTAGATACAGCAAAAATTGACTGTGCTTCTACAAGGCACCGACACGAAAGAGAAATCGAAATGGAATGACGGAAGACAGATCGAAATCAGAGTCAACAATATTTTGACAACTGACAAACTAAGGGCTGCTATTGACGTCGTTGTTTTTTGGTAAGATTGACGTTCAGTTCCGCAATTATGTAAAAAACCTATAACACGTAAAAAAAACAATTACATGTCATCTTGCAGACTAGGAAGTGCTTAGGGCTTATGGTGCAAATAGTTAATTCCACATTCCACGTTTACCCGCTATGATTGCTGTGAGCGTCCATCTATGGAGGAATGACCCAACGCGTTGTTGGTTGCAGAGCAAGTATATGTTTTGTGAAGCCGAGTAGTCTGTAGAGGAGATGTGAAAGAAAGAAAGATCGCATCTGGATGATTAGGTGTATAGGTCTGCATGAGTATAAAATCAGTCATATTTGCTGTGAGAAAATTATAATTGAATATGCTGCCAATGAAGTATATGCATTAGCCGTGTCCGACAGGTTATTTATATGTTGACCTTTCTGCAGACAGGTTATGTTTAAAGTTATGGATTACGATTTTTCCTATTTTTTGTGCTTTCAAAAACTGAGGAGCATTACGGGAAATCGCCACCGCGCCCGCGTTGTGTGCAATTAAGCCATATTGAGGAATCACGCATCAAACATTTTCGCAGTGCCTCACATCTAGGCGCCAATTTGTATTTTCTATTGACATCGCATAATAAACTTCTAAAAAATTTAAATGACTGAAATAAAAAATTATCTAATAGCCTCTTCACTTTCATAAAAATTCCTGTCCGTAGCATATTTTCCCACCTGTTCCTTCACCAACCAGGGATAATCTTTTCTTATTTCTCCCATTTTTGAGATTCAGCAAATTTGCATGTGATTTACAGAATGAATGAGAAAAAGTAGATGCGCAACTAAATCCAAGCTTTGAATCTCAAGTAAGTGTATTTGAGACAAGAAATCAATGAAATTATCATCAACACTTCAACACATATTATTAGCATACAAATCCTCACTACACACCACTTCCGTTTCCTTCTAGCTATAGTATACAACTTACAGCTTAGACCTCCAATAATGCTATCTCTGAAGCAGATTTTACATTACATCAGAGCCAGAACATTGATAACTAAAGCATCATGACGTTTAAGCATCACGTACAACTACAAAACGAGTTCACAAGTGTCCATCAGCTAGTGCTAACTTAACATCTTGTAGGAAAAAACTACATGTCACAAAAAAATCGACATGTCACTCATCAAGATATGTAATACTGTGCGTAATACCCATGCCGGTTGTCAGTCTAGCTCTTCAAAATGATGTTATATATATATCACAAAACATCTACACTTAATATATATTATGCTTTATGTATGTATCGAAGCCTTAAAAAACATTTATAGCTGCTGACGTGATTAATATGCAAACGGTCTTGAGCGCGTATTATGCTGAAGTAAAAAAATTAGAATAGCTTTTTAAGTAGAATTCTAATGAGTTGCCGAATAATTTTAATCTATAACAAGTTGCTGAAAAACTGAACCCATTTTCAAATAATCTGGGCAGATTATAACTACGAAACACAAGCAGCCTACTATTGAGTATGTCATATTAGGAGCCAAGATGGCGGCGAATATTTTTATCATGGGACGTCGTCAATCTCACTATTCTTTTGTGTTTGACTGACATTTCTTGAAAAAGAGGTTAGGTTGTTGACTGAAGTTTGAAAACACCTTCAGTAAAACAGTATTCCGAAGAATTTTCTATCTTCTTTTCTGATTAACCATTATAACATCAACTTACAATGCCTGTAAGTAAAACTCTTATTGTTAGGCCTAGTTTCTGTACTAATAAATAAATTCTTGAATCATGAGGGTGTGTCATCCTTTTATTGTAGGCTTATCATTCGAGTTTCTTGAAGCCCCCGGAAGTGATAGGGAACATGGCAATATTACCATTTAAAACGCAGTTTAGAGGACCAGCGCCCATACAGACAAACTCTAATGAACAAGATATTATAGATGAAGCAATATATTATTTCAAAGCTAATGTTTTTTTCAGAACTTACGAAATAAAAGTAAGTTGAACCTGAGTTGATACATTCTTTTGAAAGTTTTTGTGTTTGTGAAAAAATACCTTAAGCCTACATAGTTATTTGTTTAGAGTAAGTTTTAATAAATTACACCTATGATGAAGACTGAATTTTTATGATTTATATATTATGCATTCCTTGTTTTTCAAATATCTCTCCAATTCCTTTTTTTATGCTGCATGTATTTCTCCTGAAAGTTATAAGAAATGTTAAATGTTTTCATTACATAATTTTATTTTAGTCTGAAGCAGATAGACTTCTAATCTATATTACATTATACATAACAGAATGCTTAAAGAAACTCCAAAAATGCTCTAGCAAAACTCAGGGACAGAATGAGATGAAAACATTGGCTCTTTCAAGATTTGATATCCCTGGTGATCCAGGATTTCCTCTCAATTCTGTATATAGGTAAGTTTAGGCATCTTGCAAATTTTAAACATGCCTATACTCATTCCCTTCACTAAAGTAAAAGAGGCTGTGGTTCGTCTCGTTTGAAATCTATTGATGTGAACAACTGGTCAACAATTGACATATTGTCTTTTTACGAGTATCCATTAGGGTAGAATAACAATTGATTATCTAGTAATAATTATTTCAAAATTCCCCATATCGATAAATGACATAATTCTGATTGATCAGTCAATGCCAGGTAAACATAACCATATTTTGTTTTGGTTTTTCCTATGCTACAGATTCATTATGTACTTCCTAACAACTTTGTTAATTTAGAAAATTAATTTGTATACAAAAAAAAAACGTGACATGCACATTTTACTAGATTTACAACTAATTCATTATTGCCAATATACAGACTGATACAGTGTCACTTGCTGATAAGCTGTTCACCTCAGTAGGCGTCAAAACTGGTGAAATAGGGTGTATGTTTGTCTGTCCATAACCTTAGATTATGGCCCCCAGCCTAACTAGAACAATCAGCTTCTGTACCCTATTTCACGAGTATCAATCACACTTTGACATCTACTGAGGTAAACAGCTGATCAGCAAGTGACATTTTTATGTTAGTCTGCAACGTTGGCAATAATGGATCGGGTATAAATCTAGTAAAACTTGTTTGTGGTGTTTTGTTTCATGTATGCAAATGAACTTTTCTAAATAAAAGAGCTGTTAGCAAGTACAAAATGAATCTGTAGTATAAAATAAATCAAAACAAAATTCGGCTCTGTCTACCTGGCGTTGACGGATCCGTCAGAATTATATGTCGTGTGTCGACATGAGGAATGTTGAGATATTACAGCTGTCATTCTGCTGTGATGGATACTCGCGAAATAGGGTATAGCTTTCCAGATTAACCTCCATTAGAGACGAACACTAAAACATGTTTGTTTATTTCAGTAAACCCGACAATCAGAAAGAGATGGAACTTCTAAGAGCATATCTGACTCAACTTCGCCAGGAAGTTGGCATGAGGATCTGCAACAAGGTGTTTGGTGAGGATGGCAAACCAAGCAAGTGGTGGTTATGTTTTGCTAAGAAAAAGTTTATGGATAAGTCCTTGTCTGGGCCAGGACAATAAAGTTGCTTATGTTTATTAATTTTTCCTTTTTATATTATTTTATATTCTGTATTATCCACATCCTCAAATAAATAATCTATTCCTCATGTGAATTATCGTTTTATTTTTCAACAAAATTATAATAAAACTTGTTTTTCTGGTAAAATTAAACAACATATATAGGAACGACTCTTTGCTAATGTTTTGGCCACGTCTGCGATCTTTTTCAAAGTACAAAGACTGACATTGACAATATATACTTATACCCTATTTCACGAGTATCCATCACGCATTGACGCCTACTGAGGTGAACAGCCAATCAGCAAGTGACATATTTGTGTAAAACCTGTTTGCAGCGTTTTGTTTTTTGTAAACAAATGAACTTATCTAAATAAAAGAGCTTTTAGCAAGGACATCTGGAGCTTACAAAAAAACAAAACAAAATACGGCTCTGACTACCTGATCTTGACGGATCCGTCAGAATTGTGTCTTGTGCCGGTATGGGGAATTTTGAGATATTAGTAAATAATCACCTGTCATTCTACTGTGATGGATACTCGTGAAATAGGGTATATCTGTTCCAGGAATACAGTTAATTGGTTTTCTGAAAAAAAAAAATAGAACAACATGCTGATATCTGCTCACTGCATTTCATGTGTGCTAAGAATTAAATAAATTTTAACCAATACTTATAGTTCTGATATGCTACTGAATATCAGTATTACCATCAGTGAAAATTAAAATTAGACACTCAAATAGATGAGTTGCAAGTATTGTGGATTTAAGTTTGGAAAGTTGGATTTTGTATAGGTTTGTATGACAAGAAATAACATTTATATTATAATATAATATAGGTAAAGTATTTACAAAATAGAGATATATAATAATACAAGACTTAATACAGAATTTAAGAAGCTCTCCTCTTAATAGAGATCTTTCCTTTAGCCAGATATGAAATATAAATTCTGATTTTTGATCCATCAGATTTCTTAACCCAAATTGCATCATTCCCAATTGCAGATATGTTTCCTGGGAATTTTGGCAAATCCCTGCCTTCAACAAATATTGATTGTCCTCTATGATACCATCTCTTTTCATAGAGGAGTTTACCATCTTCAATTCTTGTCTCAATTAGGGATACCTACAAATGAATATGGTTTACTTATCAAACATAATGATAAAATTACAGTTCTGAATAGTAACAACGATTTTTAAAACTATACCTCTGATATAGGCTGTAAAGCTAAGGCTTGTCCAGGGCTGCTAGAACAACTCTCTGATTTAGTTCTGATTGGTGTGGGTAGTTTGCCCTTGTTTATAAGCCTTAAATCATTCTCCACATCTTTTTCATCTAACAAATAAGTAATCTGAGCTGTGGGTGCTTTACGTCTCTTTTCTGGAAGAGGTATAGGGTCATTTGGTCTCCGCCTCAGTTTTCTGGTCATTACTGGTTTTACTTCCATGGAATCGCCTGTCAATTCCATAGAGTACCTAAATATCAAGAAAATATTTTTGAATATTGAAGAATAGTTATTTTATCTTCTATTATCGAACATTCAATATGGCTTCAAGGGGACTCTGTACAAGTGATGCAATGTGTAAACTCCTAAGTCATATAACTGCAACCTTAAACCAGGAAAGGAAAGCATAGCTATATTTTTAGACCTGGCAAAAGCATCTCATAGAGTTCCACATGATAAACTGTTGAATATACTTAAAAATTATGGTATTAAAGGTCCTGAACTGCACATTTTTGGACCACATTCGTCTTACAGAAATCAAATTTTTAAAATTTGAGAAGGTTACATTTAAGTAATATTGAAATTGGAGTTCCACAGGGTACTGTTCTTTGACCAATTTTATTAATCATATACCTACAATTTGCAAACTAATCTTAATATAGATGGAATTATGATTTGATAAAATGCGAATGGCTGCTATTTATTTGAAGGAAATTCTTGGAATGTAAAAGAGCATACAAGCATTGGTTTACAAAAAATTAAATCCAGGTTAGATTATCAAATCAGCGTTATTAATTTTAAACGAAGCACTTACCTTTCTACTTCAACAGTTCTTTTCTTATCTTCTAAGTCTGATATAAGTGTCTCTTTCAAATCAATCTTTTTTTCCTCAAACTCTCTAGCTGCAGCTTTTTTCTCTTGAATATAGTCTCTTTCAACACACTCCATCAAGTACTCTTTATACAATGTATTCAATCGTAAGCGCTCCTTATACTGGTACTCTAATTTTTTCACTTTCTTATTGTAGTCATGATGAGTGCCTATTAAAAAATGAAGTGACTATGCTGAATTCAGGAACAGATTCTGGTTGAATAACTTACCGTCCTTAAGTTGTTGCAGTTTTTTCTTTAGTGTTGCCAGTTTATCCTGGTACATCTGCTCTTTGATCTCTAAGGGTTCCTCTTGTCTTCCTGTATCTGTTTCACTTGCATCTTCAGTATCTTCATCACTTTCATCTTGCAATTCATCTTCACGTTCAGGTTCTTCATCTAGGTACCTTTCATCAGTGTAATCAAATTCCTGATTGTACGAGTTTGAATATGGAGAGCCTAGGTAGGACATTTTGTGGATTTATGAAATTTTCTCCTGATATAAACGAAAAATCTTTTGGAATGATCAGCTGCTGGCTTGATATAGGTCAAAATTCCACTTCTATGTCTTGTTTACATGGACTGGGAAATTTTAGTCCAATGCAAAAAACATATTTGAAACTGAAAAATCTCCCGATTACAACATTTTATAAACAACGGCAAAAACAAATATCAAAACCTGTATACCAGCAAAACAAACGCTTGACATTTCATATTTCAATTCCACTGACGACTGACATTTCCCAAAGAACATTTCCGGCGAGGTTGCGTGTAGATGTCAACCGTTTTGCGTTTGTGCTTAGGGCAGCCACGGACGTGTTTCTTTTTCGTCAAAGTTTCACGTGGCAAGACTCCCAAATGGACACGGATAAGGTCCGCATGAAAGACTGTTTGTGGCTTCCAAAAAGCCTGTCACCGCTTAATTCAATTCTCATCGGTTTATCATTTATCGGTGTATAAAGGTATCGTCGACATCGGATCGTCTATGATAACGAGTATCTCATCGTTCTTTTCCAACTTAATTTAGCTAAGTTCACCACTGTGGAAAGATTATTTACAGTCCGACGTATCTGCCTCTTTATGAAGCTTTTGTATCACTCATTAAAAATTCAAGATAACTATGAGTGCACTATGGGTGAGTGTAACATAAGAAATCACCGAATGGCTCCAAAATGGAGGTCGAGAAGGACTTAACCCTTATTCATACGCTTCTTGTTTTTCATTCTCCTTCATAGCTTCACTACTTCTTCGTCAATCTAACACAGTCAAGTCAGTGGTACCGGCTATCATGGAAAAAAACAATAAGATGTCAACTTGCAGACTAGGTAGTTTTTAGGGCGCAAAAAGTCATTTCACGTTTGCTCACTAGGATCGTTGTGAACGTCCATCTATGGAGGAATCACTCAACTAAGCTACACGCATTATTGGTTGCATATGATTTGTGAGGCTGAGTGGTTCGTGTCTGTAGTTTTTATCTCTGAGAAGAAAGTTGGTTGAATAGCAAGATCGCATCTGGGATTATGTGTATTGGTCTGCATGTGTATAAAATCAGTGATATTTGCTATGTGCGAAAATCATTACTGAATATGACCGATTATTTATATGTTGTGTTTTCTGAAGAGAGGTTATGTTCAAGAATCCAATGGAATTATCATCAACACATACTACTTAAAGCTTAGACCTAAAGTAATGCCATCATTAGCAGCAGATTTTACATCACATTGATAACTAAAGCTTCATGACGTTTAGGCAACACGTACAACTAAGTGCTAAGTTAACATCTTGTAGAAAAACCTACATAATATCAAAAACAGTATAATCGGCTTTTTTCCGGTGAAGGCTACTTGCACACACACCGATTTTGGACGACCGGTAAAATATGGGCCGGCCACATTTTAATAGTAAACCATTGGGCGGCATTGAAGCTAGCACACTGGTCGACCACCGACCGGGACCGGAAAAAAGCCGGTTAGTAGCTGTACATTGTTACTGTGATGCGCCGGTACCGGGAATATAGTGGCATACGTGTTTAAATAGGCGCATGCACAGTCACCGATTGTTTAATGATTACAACTAGATGTACGTTTACAATGGATAAAGAGATGAACATCGATAATGATACTTATTGCGCTAGTGGAAGCAAGACCAGTTTTATGGGATGAAACTTTGGACATATTTAAATACAGAAACGCTATTAGAGAAGCATGGAGACAAGTTTGCTGCGAACTGAATGAGGATTTTAAAGAAATGGAGACCAAAGATAAAAATGAATCCAGAACTTTCAAAATAATATTGAAAATCAGCACTGCACCGGTAAAAAACCGGCGCGAGTATAAGCAGAGCCTACCTATAAAAAATCGGTCGATTTTTACCGGCCGTCCAAAATCGTTGTGTGTGCAAGTAGGCTTAAACCGCTCCCACACGACGTGGCGAATGCCTTACTACGTTGGGCACATGGCCATTCGCCACATCGTGTGGGAGAGCGCTGAGGGATTGCATGTGTCCAACGTTCGCTACATGGCACGTTCGGGCTCTTGTCGGTAAATTTGACCCGCGTCAAAGGGCGTTACAACGTTGGAAGTATGGTTCGTTACGCTCCCACACGAGATGTCATGTTTGATGGTTTTAGGTTAGAACCAGTAGCGTCTACAAACATTATTAATTTGTTTGCTGTGATTGTGGTGAAGTAGTGGTATGTGGGAAGTATTTTGATTTGAATACCTACCTATTCATAATAATGACGTAACTATCTTTTGAGGAGAATGGATTACATTAGTATACATACAAAGCATAGGTTGCCATAACAATACATTTTTCATATTGCTAATATTTTGTACGTTTCGCAGGTGAGGTATGGCTTTCCTAAGGATATGTATTTTAGTAAATTATAAATTATCAAGTGCTTACAGTTGTTTCATTATAATGTCCTGTTGCAATGCAAGACTAGTTGACAAATATATTCATAACTAACGAAAAAGATTAAATGTATGAAAACTCTGAAAGTGCTATCACGATTTTGATGAAATTTCGACCCTAGGTCACTACTATGAAAATGACGAAAAAGCTCTGCACTTTCTGCAACTCGGTACAGCGGCGGTGGAGGTATCGTCGAAAAACAAACAAAAAACGGTCAAATTTCGTTTTTCGGCATTTTTTGAGACTTCTGACAGACTTAAGTTTTGGTCGCTGAGGACAGATCTGAAATTATTTTTCGGCGCTCGAAAAAATGTTTCATCGTTTATTTTCTATAATTTTTCCTTCAGTGTTAAAGGTTCAAGCGCGACACTGACACCGATAATAGACGTTGGCACGACCATGCGTCGAACGTCCGATACTAAAAAGTTCATCCCATCGTGTAGGAGACACTTGACAATTGTGGGGTGTCGAACGTTGTAAACAACGTTGTATATTAAAACGTTATAAACAACCTTGGAAGCATCGTATGGGACCCGCATTATATGAGTTACATGTTTTGCGGTGTCAAGTGGTAGTCAACGTCAAGTCAGGTGTGTGTCAAGTTTGTGGTATCAAGCTGTCAAGTGGACGTCAAACGGTCAGTGTTATATTGGTGTATTTTTTAATTCACCGGTTGAGCAACTGGTGCCACCGGTGGACCAGACATCTGTCCTTTCAATTCAACCGGTTGCTGCCATCACCATACAAAGCTGTCAACAGTGTCAACCATAAGCATCAGTGGTGGAATCAACCGGTGAATTAAAGAATCCACCTTATGTTATGGGTTAAACGTCACTAATGTCAGTATATATATATATATATATATATATATGTTTTGTGGCTGCTGTTAACCTAATTTCTTAGCATCATTTGCAAAAAAACAAGTAAGTTAATTCCAGGTGCAATTTATATATAAAATACACTAATACACACTAAAAGTGTATAAATCATAATATAATCATGGCGGAGTTAGATACATTTTCTCAAGAGACGGCAGTGGAAAACGAAGTTACGGCAGATATGACAACCGAAAACCCGGAAGAAGCTGCTGAAAAAGGGGCTGAAGATCAAGATAGTCCGTTCGCTTACTTGGAGCGAGCTTTTTCATCCGAAAACTTCAAGATTGAAATAAAGAATCTTCCGAGGTTTTATGGCTTGCATGTTCGTCATCCAAAGCTTTATATGAGAACCATAAATGATGACATATTCTTTTTAGGAGCTTCGGAGGTTGCTTAACCAAAAACTGCAGCTGAGAGCAAATAAAATAAAAACTATACGCAAAAATAGTCCTTTTTTGTTTGTATGCTTCAAAAATGAAGAAGATAGAGAAAAGGCAATTGCAGTCCTTTCCAAAATCAAATGGAAGGGGAGGGAGTTGAAAGTAACGGTTTGTGGACAAGTTAATCTTTTTATATGTTTTAGAAACTTTTTCATCTATGCATCTATGACTTGATACTATTCATTTAGTTATTATATGAGTGGGATTTAAATATCCTGCCAAAAAATAATGCTTGTACCAGTGGTTACAGTGTTTACCCTGCTAAGTATATCTTTTTGAATTTCAATGATGCATCACTGTAATACAAAAGTAATGAATCACATACAATAATATTATAATAATGTATCTTCAGTTTGAGTATTCAATGGAATATAGCAAAAAACAGAAAAGGAGTTATTGACTTCCAGCTGTCTTCTTACAGTGAGTGCAACTAGTATTCAGACAGTCCTTGTTTTCAGCTAAAAATGCCATTTTTGTTGTATTGCATAGTTGTTTCTGACTTAAAATAAGTCTTAGTTTGTACTATAAACTTTCTTCATTCATGTGGACCCAACAATAACAACAAAAAGTAAACATTAGAAACATGAAACAAAAAAGGAAAATTACAATTACTGACTTTCCAAAAAGTATTGGACACCTAGAAATTTCAGATTAGATGAAGACATAATCCACATGTATGTTAAAGGTGGGGCATATGCCCCCTGCTGGCTTCTGCTTCAATTTGAAATATTCTTAATAAGACACCTGACCCTTAGGTAAGAAGTAGCGTGTGATTTTTTTTTGATCTTCGAAACATCCCAACAAGATAGTATGTCTGCTACCATTTTGAATAGTTTTCAATTGTCACCAATGGGTTGGCGAGGTCTTAGCATTTTTCATCCTACACAACCTGTAAAAAAAAACATGCCCCCCTGGGTTTTGCAATAAGGGCACTCATGCTGGGGGTGCAATGAAAACAAGAGCTATTATTCTCTTTAGCATAATAAAAATGAGCTTCACCTCAACAGATTACCAAATTTTGAGGTGGGAATACAGAATAGACAGAGATGTTTAATAGATGTCTTTTATTCATTGTATATATTTTTAAGTTTTGTGCTTTTTTTATCTCTTTGATAACGACTGAAAACATATAGCAGATATCTTCTATCCAAGGTATAAAGCTTATGATGCTGTCTTATTTCGATAGGGTCTATCTAGTGCTGAACATCCTTTGTGAACTGATGACGGTGTTGCTTGGGAAGTGCAGAATCAGTCTCCTTGGTGCCATATTTTGTTTTGTTCTCGCTATCAGCTTTCCCAGATATTTTCTTGCAATCTGGTATTGCCTGTTTTATATTCGAGTATCAGAGTATTGTCCCTTTCACCATTCGCTGTATGATACTTCTTGTTTTCTTTTCATCACTAGGCATTCTTTCCTTTTTTGCTTTATTTGAGAATTTCGATCTTGTGTGCTTGTTTTGTAGCTTTAATTTTAGAGGGTGTTATTTGGAAAACAATATATCTAAGAACAAACTAGTAATATAGCTTTCGTTCGTCCACCTGCAGACAGCACTTTGTTCTGTCAAATTTATTATAATACTTGTTATATTATAACAACTGCAATGTTATATATATATATATATATATGTTGTGTTAGCATGATATCCACATACAAGGATATTTTCCTTTTGTGGCATATCTATTTGTTCACAATTTGTAATTGATGTGAATAAATTATTATTATTATATATCTATAAACTCTCATCTTAGTATCCCACCTATAACAATCTGCCCAGAGCTTCGATCTATATATAAGTGTCTCCAACTGTTTCAGCATTTCCTGGTAAAGACTGAGATTTGTATACAGAGCAGAAATTCGTGTTTCCCGTTTCCAACATAACATCTCCATTTTTCTACTGTACTCTCTTGATCGTTGTTTCCACTGTTTGGTTGTATATCATCATTACTATAATCCTATTTCCATAGGTTATTTTCCACCATCTTCTTGTTTGGATCAGATATCAAGGCCACGTCTATTAGGCGAAATATTCAAGCAAATCGTATAAAGCTTTACACCTGTTTACATTTACCTACTCTATTTTCATGACATCCAGTGGTGCTGATTCTTTCCGCACGCCTGTTTCTCTTGCTTTTCTTGTTTCTTTTGTCGAGGTTATATTGCCTTGTCGTATAATGGTTAGGTGTGCGTGTTTGATCACCCCCCTGTATTTTGTGCAGGTCATACTAACTGCAGGTTGTACGTCTTATCCACACCAGTATCGGCTAAAATCCTATATCGCTCATTTTTGGTTTATAGCACAATACAGTTCATAAGAAACACAATTTTGGTGATATTTTCTCCTTTTTTTTTATTGTTTCAAGTGTTACCTTAGCGGCTATGATCCCTTGTGAAAATATTTTAACAGGACTGTTTATTCAGTTGTATGTGTTTTTTTTAAATACTAAGGACTCTCATAGTCAGGTACTGCTGAATGTGTAATTTATTCAAGTAGCCGTAGGTTTCATAGTAATGCATGTATAACTCTTAATAGACCATTGATCATTACTACAAGGTGTGTTATTATATTTTTGTACAGAAAGCAAAACCATCTCCAGATCCTCTTGTGAAAAAGAGGAAAGAAGATGCTGAAGAAGACCCAGCGACTAAGATGATAAAAGAAGATAACAGATCTCAGGAAGAAAAGCTGAAAGATGCAGTTATTCAATATTGGAATATACCTTATGATGAACAGGTATTATATCCATATAAAGCGATATATACTTCTGTTCTTGTCTTCACTAACGAATGCATGACATGATATGAAATTTGTTGATTCATATCAAATTTTTTATACAGAGAAATTAAAATATCACTGACCTAGTCTGCAAGATGACATTTAATTTTTTTTTTGAGGACTATCAGAAATTAATTGTTGAAAAGTACCAACTTCTGCTTTATTTACTATGGCTATTTGACATTTGGCAATCCAGCATATACGTCTGTCAGAGGTGCTTTCCAGTGCCATGTTGAGTTACTTGGAGTAACTCGGAACTACACACCACCTGTCAATATCGTTCCAGTGTTCTCGAGTGTCATGCACCTGAGCTACTCATTTTTGATATCCCCTGCCCCCTCATGCACCAGCTTTTTATTCGCTGTTACACGCTCCGAATTAGTAGGGATAACGAAAATGACAATGTGTCAAACTGATAATGTTATGAGCCAGAGTCACAACATACAATGCAGGTTCGTAGTGGCTTGTAGTTGGCTTCATCTATAACTAGACACTTTGAAAGATAATGTTGAATGTCTACACTAAAATATGAATTCGACACATTTATCCAGAAGCTTTACAATAAAAATGCAAACCTCTCACGTGTTACGCCATCATCAGGCATCAATTGGATAGTCTGACAATGCTTCTGAAAATAAAGGCAAAATGTATTTATATTTTCATTGTTTGGCAGTGTGATACAAATTGTCAACGTCAATGCAAAACGTCAACAAACAGGTTTGGTTTTTTATCGTTGCGTTCGCGTGTGCATTTGCTAGAGCAGTTCGGGAGCTTCACACTCCGGGTGCATACAACTCTCAGTTCAGAAGCACTGGAAAGTGGCTCAGATGTGAACATTATATCATTATGTGACTTATAACCAAAAAATGTTTGAATCTGACAAGTAGTGTATAATAGGCTTGGTCGCCAAATAGTTAGTCATGAGAGGGGAAGTCGGTTATTTCGCATACAAATCTGTTGCCACATTTATCTGAATTTTGAGTAATTCATGAAAAAAAAAATTATAAATCTTTTACTCATACAGGGTGTCCAGAAGTTGAAGGATAATCCTGCAACTGGAAATAGGTCACATCATTACCTACTGTCTTCTTTAGTCAAAAGTCTCATGGTTTTTGTCATATACGACGATCATTTTTTTTTTTAGTGTAAAACAACACTCGACTAGTTAAATTGACACTCTGTATAAATATATGATTTTCCTCTGATAAAAATATCATATAAAACTTGACTATATTGTCTTGCAGTTGAAATTGAAAGAAGAAACAATAAAAAAAGTGTTGACAAAACTTGGGACTTATCTTTCAAATCACAATGATGAATTGAAAGAATGGTTGGAGTGTCAAAAGAAGAAATATGATGGTTTGCCTTGTGAGCTGTTGGAAATCAGACATTCGGATCAGCCAGATGGGTAATTAACAAGTGTTTGTCATTTATTGGAAATATCTACTATTTTAGCGACCAAAAATAGTACAGCCTCGTGCGAATTAAGCTGCTGAGTGACAGTATGCAAAGCATACAAATTTTTCTTTACTCAATCAACTGAAATAATGCCCATAAAGCAAAGCGTGTGCGTCGAGATTTATTGTATAAGCACTATCTTGAGAAACAGTGGTTCACTAAACTTTATAGTTATTATCTTGGCATTTTCAGGTACAGGAATAAATGTGAATTCACAGTTGGCATAGATGAAGAAACAAAGTTAGCTACAGTTGGTTTTAGAATGGGCAGTTATACCACTGGTACAACCGGAGTTGCACCTGTGGATAACTTAGTTCATATACCAGAAGCCATGAAAATTGCAGCTAAGGTATGTATTGACTGTTGATTTATAATATCTGTTTAACGGACGCAAACCAATACTTATTTACAATATTATTATTTATTTTCAATTTATATCAGCTAAGATTAGACCACAGAGTAATCACTGCATTTTCCTTGCTACCAACGGTTCCCAAAAGTCATAAAAAGGTCCTGTAAGTTGACACGAGAGGTGTGTATCAACACATGTTAGAAAGAGATAGAAACCGGCTAGCGACGGTGACGCAGGTTATGCAATCGGCCACGTTGTCGATATGTTACACCAGAAAATGTCCGCATAGGCTTCTACAATAGGTTAGGTTCCTGTCAAAGCCAAGAAGGAGGTCGGTTCGAACATTCAAATCAATATATTGTTTTCATTTTGATTCGAACTATTCATTTCAATTTTCATGCGTCTTAGTGTTTTAATTTATTTTAGAATCACCTTTGACTTCCACCGATGGCGATAAAATTCGACCTAAAATGTAGCGACGCTAGGACCGATCGGGAATCAATCCTACATAGATTCGACACGATTCACAATCCAAAACTGTGTATGCTCAAAATATAACCATTACTTGGGTGTAGAGAATAAACTAACGCTTATTTTCAACATCCATCTTAATTTGACAACTTTCCGCGTTAGCATTGCCAGGCAACGCGGCGATGAGTTTCGCTATCGAGTCTGCTTCTGACTCTTTCTAACATGTGTTTCTATATACACTTCTTTCTCGTACACATTGTACTGAAGCCGTCAGAAAAATTGGGTTCTCAGTGTATCCGTAACAATTAAAAAGATACTTTAAGCTAATTAATCGTATTTTTAGGCATTCCAAAACTACGTCAGAAGCTCAGATCTGACGGTGTACAATCCTGAAACGCACACGGGTCATTTCAAACAACTGGCTGTTAGGCTGGCGCCTGGTCAGTTGATGGTTGTCGTGGGTATACATCCGCAAGAATTGAGTGAGGAAGATTTAGGGGAATTGAAAACCAGTATAGTCAAATTTTTCACTGAGGGAGAAGGCAAACATGTCAATGTTACTTCTTTGTATTACCAGAAATCTGTCAGAAAGTAAGTAGTTGAAATGGCGGTAAAACCTTTATCGATTTGAGTTGTTAAACTCTTTGAATAGTTTTACAAAAATATTGAGCACCAGCCTTCAAATACTTTTTGGCCTTCTTGTTGCACAACGCATTTATGAGGACAGTTTTTAAAGAATACACATAGAAAAACTGTAATACGCAAAAAATGTTAATAGATCATAAAAATTTAGTTTCTCCAGTCGTCCCTTTGTTTCCATGAAATTTATCAGGTTAGTATGTTTATGAATATTTTAGGATACATCATGATGATTTTGTGCCTGCGGAACATCTATGGGGAGAAAAGTACATTTACGAGACTATCTTAGGGCTAAAATTCCGAATATCCCCAGAAGCATTCTTCCAAATTAACACGAAAGGAGCGGAAATAGTTTATAAATCTGCTATGGAGTTTGCAGAGCCTTTGGAAGATGCCACTGTGTTTGATGTATGCTGTGGCACAGGGACAATTGGACTGTGTTTTTCAAAGGTAAATGCATACTCTGCTTTGATACAGATGATATCTCTCTGTAACATTTATAACTGCCAGTTCTCTGCTCCAACAAATTCCGAACCGGTTCTGATAGAGAATAAAAGTCCAAATTTGGTAGCGCATGCGCCTTTAGAGAATAAATGGAGTCGACCAGCTGTTCATAGCTGGAAAGCTGGGTTTTGTGGCAGCCATTTGAGTTTTTGGTATGTGGGTATCGCCAAGCTATCCAGTTTAACGACCAGCAGCAATTTACGCTCAAAGAACCTTTTTTGCACCACTAATGCTATACCAGGTAGCATCAATGCTGTGATCATTTTTCAAGATTCAAGATGTTTCTATTTCTACTCGTGTTGCCCAAAAAACACCTTTTTTAGAACATAAGCATTTCTATGTTGAAGTTAAATTTGGTTTATACAGGGATTCACAAGTCGTGACAAAAAATGAAACATCATACGCAGGACCGCATTTTAAGGTGGGTGTTCTGTGTAACATTTTTTCCTTGAGGGCTTCGTGAATGAGATACGGCGTGTTGAAATTTAAAAATAAAAAACTTTTTTTTATATCTTCCAAACCGTTAACTGGAATGAACTAAAATTTGGCCTGTGGATTTACTTAAGTATTGTCCACATTCAAAAGTCTTTACTTAAAATTAACGTGCACCAGTGGCGGAGATACAGGGGATTAGTGGCATTATTTTTCCAAATAAAAATAGTATGTCACTGATTCTTGTTGACACTATTATTAGGTCATTCATGAAGAGCCGATATACAATTAGCTTCATAATAAAATAGGATGCCTTGATACCAACTTGACGTTTCTTGGGAGTTTGTCAAAGTTGTGTTATACGGTTGTTATCGTTACTTCTACCATTTTTTTTATAAAAGTAAAGTCAAAAGTTTCTTTTTTCCATTGTTGAGAAATGGAATTTAGCAATGATGAGTAGTCCGATATTATTTTTGTGTACGGGTTCTGTAATGAAAATGCTTTAGCAGCTTTTCGGGAGTATCAACGTAGATTTCCTAACCGACGCCAGCCTACCCCAAAGGTTTTTACGCGTTAATTTCTAAGGCTTCGGAAATATGGAATTGCCAAACATCCCGGAGTTAGAGGCCATGGTGTTCGGCATACTGGTAAAGAGGAACTGGAAGTGATTAATTTGGCGTTGGATGATCATTGTACAAGTACTAGGCGGATTGCACCCCAATTACCATGTTCCCAAAGTCTTGCGAGGAGAATTTTAACATCCTTACCATCGGCAAAATGTACAATGTCTGCAACCCAGCAACGCAGTACAACGGCGAAATTTTTGTGAGTGTGGTTACTGCAAATGCATAATCAAAATGCAGACTTTATTGATTTGGTTTTGTGGTCAGATGAATCGCTTTTTACGAGGAGTGGAACCTTCTCATAATGAACATATGTGGTCGGTAGAAAATCCCGGTTCTGTAAGAATCCACTCGTTTCAACACATATTTTCTAGAAATGTCTCGTACGGCATCTTCAATGGCCAACCTGTTATGGATGTATTGCCACAACGTTTAAATGCAAACTTATACTTTGCTTTTCTAGAGAATTACATAGAAAATGTGTTAGATGATGTTCCGTTAGCAACGAGAGTACGAATGTGGTATCAGCACACGATGTCCCACCGCATGTTCGTCGTGACATAACCGCATGGTTAAATAAGCATTTTAGACTATGGATTCGCAGAAACGGACCTGTACATTGGCCTGCGAGGTCTCCTGATTTGAAGCTACTAGATTTCTTTTTGTGGTGCACTTTTAAATAACTATTGTACGCTGAACAAATTATCAGTTACAAGAAAGAATAGATAATGCGTTTCATCAAATGAAGCCACAACAAATTTTGCGGAATACGTTTTTTTTTATGAAATAGATGCCGCACTTGTATCCGTCAGAATGGTGGTCTTTTTGAACATTTATTGAAATAAAGCTTTGATTATCTAATTTGTTTTTTATTTTTACGACAACAATGCACTCTAGGAAAAAACACAAGAGTAATTATTTGTAGCAAATTGAAGATAAAATTCGAAAAATTGCATATTTTAAAAAAACAGTGATGTACTATTTTTATTTAGAACTTATTACTTATCCCCTGTATCTCCGCCACTGGTCCACGATAATTTTAAGTAAAGACTTTTGAATCTGGACAATACTTAGGTAAATCTACATACCAAATTTTAGTTCATTCCAGTTGACGGTTTTGAAGATATTAAAATTGTTTTATTTTTAAACACCCCGTATCTTTTTAAGCCCTCGAGAAATAAATGTTACATAGAAGACTCCCCTTAAAATACGGTACTGTGTATGATGTTTCATTTTTGGTCACGACTTGTGAATCACCCTGTATACGGGTTACAATTTAATTTCAAGATATCACTCTTTTTAATAACTGTCTTGTCTATAGTCCTAAGTAAAGGATTGTGTATCATATACTTACGACCTTTGCTTATTGTTCAGCATTGCAAGAAAGTAGTAGGCATCGAATCCATAACTCAGGCAGTCGTGGATGCAAAAGAAAATGCAAAAAACAACGGCGTTCAGAACGCAGACTTCATTGCCGGGAGAGCCGAAGAACTTTTATGGGACGCAGCTTTCAAAGTAACTGGAGAACAGAACGTCATAGCTATTGTCGATCCGCCTAGAGCAGGCTTGCGTAAGTTCCTTCTTAAATAGATATTTTAGTCATTCCCACATACTCACACATAAAGGTGTACGCCCAATAAGGCAAATCGAGGGAAGGGAACCGATGCGACGTTTGTCCTTTGCACACGTCAAACGTGACACGTCGCTTCCCTTAGCGTCGTTGCAGTGCGCGAGCTCTTACTTGATTGTATGTAAAAGAAGCGGAAAAGTTTAGCTTCCCTTCCTTGCAATGGGCGTGCATCTTAATTACACATAGCGAAAAACTTAGAGCCCCACTACTTTAAAAGCACCTTCTGAAGATTGGTTATTAGTTTATGAAGAGAGCAAGGCGCTTGAGAAATACGTTTGATGCGAGCGACAAAGCGGAGCGAGGCAGTCGCTGGCGTACTCAGGGGGGCTGTTCTTTAGATAATACAGACCCCCTCCCCCTGTTCAGTTGTCACAAGGGCATTCCCTCCCAGAAGCACTCATTCAGCAGACCCCGTCACCCCCTAATTTTCAGGAGTCGATACCTCTCCCCCCCCTCCTTCAAGATGGTCATTTTCCAGATCATGAGCTTCTCCCCAGAACTTTTTTCTGGATACGCCAGTGGCGGCAATATTTCGAGAGCAGCGGAAGTAGTTTGTGCTTGAATTACACATAAGATCCTTTTCTACAACCGTACTAACTATCCGACTGTCTCAGAGCAAGATGTATGTTTTTTTAATGAGGTATATTATGTATGTACAGTAGCGGACAAAAGTTTGGAAACATTCTTAGTAATTTTTAAAAAGTGCACAAATTTTTTATTCTTTGTTATTAAGGACTATTTTTTTCTCATATAGTTTGCTTACAGTCTTGAGGATACAAATGACAATTTGTGTTTGGTGTGGCACATTAAAATTCCTTCATATTATTTTATGACCAAAAATGAGACGACAAAAGTTTGGAAACATACTTTTTTTTACAAAATTAAATACAATATTTCTACAAAAAGATTTAAAAAATACTGTAATATTTGGTAGAATAGCCTTTAATATTCAACACTGCTTGACATCTGCTGCTCATAGAAGACACCAATTTTTACAGACGTTTGTTATTATTTTGCCAAATAGTTTTTACATAATCAAATATATCGTTCCTATTTTAAAAAGTTTTTCTTGGTAGTTGTCTTTTAACATGCTCCCAGAGATGTTCTATAGGGTTTAGGTCCGGGGATTGCGAAGGCCATGTAGTCTTAAACAGTCCTTTACGAATTTTGGGGTGCTTGGGGTCATTATCTTGCTATGTCCATCTTAAAGGCATTTATTCTTCAAAAGGGACCACTAAGAATATCTTTATAGAGTTTTTGATCCATTTTCCAACAATTCTATCCGTTCCAGAACTAGAAAAACAGCCTCAAACCATGATGTTGCCTCCACCGTGCTTAACTGTTGGCAACTGATAATTTTTGTCGAATCTTTTTCGTATTGGATGTCTCACATATGCCGTACCGCCAGATCCAAACAAGTTAAATTTGCTTTCATCGATGCGTAAAACTGACTGACTGACTTTTGCACTAGACACCTACCAAAAAGCCCAAAATCCACCAAGCGTCTCTGCACTGTTCTGACAGTCAGATTCTCGGCACCCTCTTCTACGATTTTCTTAGAAAACTGTAAGGCTGGAATTCGAGCAGTTTTCATGGCACAAACGTTTAATGTAGCCATCCAAAACATAATCGGTTTTTTTAGGTCTTCCGCACCTGGGCCGCGTTGCTGTTGTGTTGTTGCTGTATTCTTGATATTTACTAAGAATTTTCTAAATCGTCCCTTTGTTCATATTTAATCTTTGAGAAATGTTAACATTTCTGACGTCACTGCTAAATAATTCAACTACTTTGTTTCTTAAATCTTTTGAAAATTCTTTTACTTTTGCCATTCTCACTGATGTTAATATTTATCGCACGCAATATCAGAGTACCGTAGAACGAATAAATACGGCAAAACTGAAATGTTTCCATACTTTTGTCGTTACAAAAACTATGGCATTTAAAAAACGCGTTTTTATTTTCAAAGAATTTAAATATTGATAAGATAAAAACCGTGTATTAGTACGGGAGCCAAAGGTAGACTTTAATATTTATATTGTCTGTTTCTTCACAATTTTGATTTAGGTATATGAAACAGTTCATAATAATGTTAATATTTGTTTCCAAACTTTTGTCCGCTACTGTATATAATAATTACATTTTACGGGTTACAGTCCAAACAGCTGGATGTCTTCGATATGAGATGTTAGATTCGCCTTAGCAGCGTAAGTGACAGTTATTAAACCTAAATGTCGGATTTTAATCGAAAATATCAACTTTGACATGTCTATTTCATGGGCTGCAGGTTAAATGGCTTGATGTATTTTGAGGTAACAGGTGTCTATCAATCAGACTCACAGATTTTAAATTCAAATTTGTCTTGAAATTTCTATTTCCCGCGCTATAACCCAAATAGCTTGATGGTTTTTGGCATTTCAGGTGTCCTTAGATTGCTCTTGATAACACAATTAAAACTTTATTTCCAATTACTTGTTCTTTTTGTTATCTTTTTAAGAATCTTCTCGTTTTACTTTTACCGTATTATGATTGAAAAATTGGTAGGAATTTATGCATCATGATATAACATCTGCCAGTTTTATGATACAGAAGTGTTGAATGGTCGCTTCTACCGCGAAGTTTTTGGTATTCTGTCGCTCTATAGCGGCAAAGCGGTCATTCGTCATAGTTTCAAAAACGTTAATAACTTCGCATCTACTCGTAAGAATATACTGATTCGGTTTTTTTTTGATAATCACACAATCAAAGGTTTTTTTTGGGTCAGGTTAAACACAAAAGGACCTTATGAACTGTGCTCTAAAGTTGATAGTTTTCGAGATACAGGCGATTTAATATTTGCAAAAGTGCGGGTATGTAAGTTTCGACCGAAAAACAATATGGAAAAACGAAAATTTTCTCCGGTATTCTCCAAGACTGTTATTGTAAATCTCTGATTTTCAAATGTTAATCAAGCGCGTCCTCAATATATATTCTGGGTGAGCACAGAGACGGCAGCCAGCTATCTCTCACTCTCACACAGAATATATATTAAAGGCGCGCTTGACTAGCATTCAAAAAAGCAAAGGAATAACAATACTCCCTAAAATGCTTTCGGATTTTATTAATGTTGTTTAAAGCGATACTTTTTCAAACAAGATTATGCAAAAATCAATATTTTGACCTTGCGAGCAATGCCAGCTTCTTCATACAGATGCATGAATGTCTATTTTGTTTATTTTACAGATAAGCTAGCAGTATTCAAACTGAGAAACATACCGATAGTGAAGAAGGTCATATATATATCTTGCAATCCATTTATGGTCATCCAGAATTTCGTCGACTTTGGAAGGCCAGAGTCAAAGAAAATGCATGGGGATGCTTTGGTGCCGACCAAAGCGGTGTCAGTGGACATGTTCCCATATACTAAGCACTGTGAGTTGGTAATGTGCTTTGAAAGATGGGAAGATGTCCAGCAGAGATTTAAGGAGGAGATGGCTGCTGAAGGAGAAGGAATGCAAGTTGACGTAGTTCCAGATCAGAAAGTTGAAAGTAATGAAAATGGAGTCAAACAAGAGGATATGGTTACTGTGTGAGATTAAATAAAAAACGTATTAGATATTGTCAGATTGGTCGTAACAAAAGATTTGAAACATGTAGGAAATCATTATTAATTTTCGGTGTCATATATATAGAAATGGTCCGAGTCATCATTCCACCTTTGTGCGGCTGTTTTATAAACATATGAAAAGTATATTCTGCAGTATAATCATCACCTATCAAATATAACCCAGGAATTACTCTGAAGGGGTTATTTTAACAAACTTATGCGATATCAAGCAGTGATGAAAAAATCAACAATTCAAGCTACAACGTAAAATGTACGCCAATGCGATGGCTTGGGATGCCGCCCGAGGCCCGCCCAGTGATGACTTGGAACAGTTTTATAAGCTTATTATAATTTACAATGTTGGAATGAAGTTTTCGGTGTATGTGCGAGTGATTTGTAATTTTGAAGTAAAAAAAATTAGAAAAAAAAATTGTCGTCGAAAGAATAATTTTGACTCTATATAAAAATAAGTTGACCTTATTGTCTCGAAAAGGATGTTTAGTTTTTTAAAATCCTGAATTAAACTAGGCTGCTAGTTATAATGAAGGAATATTAACGTTCATTTTTCAGTTGATATATTTTTTTGTATGAATTATAAAACAGGCTTGTAGAGTTAATAAAAATACCAGTTTTCTTTGATAAAATTGTTTCTGTTACCCTATATCTTACGGCTAACCACATGCTTCTGTTGTAGATGATCCAAGCTAAATCCATAACAAGTGTCTGAAATAATAAAATATGTTTTATTTAAATTGTAACATTGAATAATACTACTGGCGCGAACTTTATAAAAGTATCGAACAAACAAAAAATGAAAAGTAAAATCTAACTGTTCGTGCAGCTGTCGGTAACTGTGTTTGGGATCCGGCCGCGTGCATTCCGTCTATATAAAGCAGCAGAGTTAACGGAATTTGTGTGGCGGGATCTTGAACACAGTCACTGACCGGACTTATATTATTTACAAACAATAAAAAACCAAGTACTAACCATACTTGAAAGAAATGCCTTTGCAGCACCAATGAATCACATTTTTCCCAGACACTCGACATCTTGTAAAATTTGAGACATAAGCTGCTTGTCCCTGAGTGCAGCCGCAACCTCTTCTTCATTCCACTGTAGGCCCACCCGGGACATCCTCTGATCCATCTTGCCTTTTCCCGCCACTTTGATCATGCCTCTGGTCTCAATCAGAGAACATAAACCAACAAACTCTGCTTGGTCCACAGCTATCAAGTTACGTTTTGAACACACCCGCCTGCAAAGTGAGAATATGGCACCAACGGACGATACAGATTTTAGTAGGAAGTTGTCTTTTTAATTCCAAAAGTATGTTGAATCCTGTCAAGGGGCATACTGCCATCTTAGTCGAACTGCAAAGGGGGGACCCCGGCCTTCTAAGTAGGGGTGCTCTCATTACCCCTAAATATCGCTTCAACCGCAAGTTTAGTGTGTAGTATCCAACGAGGGAGGAGAGAGACGCCGATAGCCAGGGGCTCTCCAGAGAGAGTGGGCAGGTCTGATACACGGACGGCTCGGTCCCCTAAGAGGGCTCTGGCGCTGGGTCATCTCTGCCTCTTGATGGATACATCACTTTTTTCCAGGCGGAAATCTTTGCGATTCCTGTTTGTGTATCTCGCATTCTGGAGAAGGGTGGGCATAGGGAAAGAATAACAATCTTATCCGACAGCCAGGCTCCAGTGCCTGTAAGATTACTTCGAGCCTTGTCTCGCAGCGAGGCATCTGGTATCGTTCTTGTGGGTACCGGGGCACGCTGGGATAAGGGGCAATGAGACGGCGGACACTCTGGCGAAGACAGGATCAGCCAGCAAGCTCGTTCGTCCTGAGCCAGCTTTAGGAGTGCCCGCGCAAAGAGTTAGGAGGGAATGGAGGCGTTTATTGCAAGACAACATTCTCAGAAATGGAGAAGTATCTCCAGACATCTCCGTCAGGCACGGGAACTAGTTGTAGGGTCCAGCGCTAAGGATGGACGTTTCTGCTTATCTCTGGATAGAGCTTACCTTAGGCTGCTGGTGGGACTGTTGTCTGGCCATAACACGTTGAGGCGCCACCTGCACGTAATGGGGGTGGCTGAGTATCCCTTGTGTGAGCGCAGCGGGGTAGAGGAAGAGACCTCGGCGCACGTTCCGTGTCACTGTGAAGCTCTGAGCTACTATAGGCAGACTATACTGGGGTCCATTACTTTGGACCCTCAGGAAGTCAAAGAGCTTGGTTTCAAGGCCATACTCACCGCCGCTAGAAAGGCGAGGCTTGAGGTGTAAGGAATGTTGAGATGTTTAAGCGGCCTATGCAGTGGCTCCTTATGATGGCCTGAATACCTCTAATTTCACTATTCATTAAATTCAATAACAATAACATGTGACAGATAAAGTGTGTGTGGGTGAAAATTAATTTATTCGATGAAATATATATATGAAAACAAATCAGTTCGAGTTTGGCATACTGGTTGGAAAATAACTATCCCTCTGCTGTAAGCATTCAAGTCGTCTCTGAAAACATTTGCTGTGGTATTTTTGATATATCTTGACAAACGTCTTTTTTTAGTTTGGTGAGTAGCCCCACAAGGAAAGTCACATACCAATAACTCAAGTAAAAGTCCATAGAATTGCATCATCTCTCGACTCTCGTAAAACCAAGGTGCGAGAGATCCAAATGCAGAGCAATCAGCAGCTTTGATCAAAGTCCAGAATACTTAAGGATATCAAAAAGACAAATGAAACACAACTAGTTTCTGAATATTTACCTATAAACCTCATGCAGTCTGCCGAGTGTAACATCTTTATTCTTTGCCTTATTGAGCATTAATAACAGTGAGCAGACAATAATCTTCTGTTGCAGAGGAAAACACTCATCTGAGGAGTCTTCCTGCAAATTTTGACTGCCACCATAAACATTGTTCACCACAGCCAATACATCTTTCAGCTCTACCTGTTTCAATAGTTCTTTTTTTTCAGTCTCTAAATTCTCTACGGACTTCAGGATGTCCTTGCTTGACTGGTCAGCCAGTTCAACAACTCGTCGACCTATGTCTAGGGCTCTCCTCACATCACCTGCCAGACAAAATTCATAATGATGGATGCCTTCATAATTGCATACTATGAATTGGACCTCTAATTTGAGTCCTATGCTTACCTGATACAGATGCCACCTTGCCAGCTAGCATTTGTAAAGCAACAGCAGAAAAGACACCATCCACTCCATTTTCTTTCAGTCTGGACGTGAATATGTCCATAATTTGTTGTTTGGTATAAGGTGCAAAATGCATCAGGTTTGGTTTCAGCTCACACCTGTAAATAATATACTCTCTTTGATATATTAGTACATAGAGGAATATGTTCACCATAAACTAGGTCCTCTGAGAAAAAAGTCAGTCAAACAGGCCCATACAATTAGTCCATAGAAATTCTCTCCCTGCCCTACCAGTAGTGCATCTGGAAACGTCGCCTCTCTCCGATACCTAAATACGTGTGATTCCATACCAGAACACTCAATAACGTTCAGCGCACGACGCCAGCCGCGGCCGATAGGTACATGATCCATCTCCCGAGAATATTTTTGTTTGTTAATAGGAGCATATAAATGTACCAATATCGAAAAATTAACATAAAACCTTCACCACCCCATTACCTTTAAAATATTTTTTCAAAAATGATCAGATTCCTCTGAAACGTCAAAAATGAAGTTTGAGTGATTTTTACTTTTTTCATTTTAGGCCTTTTTCTCCGTTGCCACTGGCTTTTGCGTCTTTGGCATAGTAGCAACAATGTGTAAAAACTTAATCGAAATCCTGGCAGTACTTCTTTAGTTATAGGTGGTTATAAGATTAGCGGACAAACAGAGCAATGGAAATCAGTGACATGGCTTTTTCTGTGATGTATATGTCATATAACACCCAAAAAACAATATCCCATTTTCAAAAAAATTCGCGATTAAAGTTCCTCCCTGCCAGTAGGCGTGGGAAGTAAAAAGGACATTTAGGTATAAAAATATAAGACCTAGAATTTATACAACCCCAACTTCTAAAGGTATAACAAGATGGACCTATAGCACTTCTTTAAAAAATGTTTTTTAAAAGTGAAGTATGTGTCTCCTAAGAATGATTCACCTACCCCTTAAATAATGATAAATTGTTTAAAATACAAGTTGTGTATTGTATACCTACAAATACAAAACAGTAAGTTATTTTTGGATGAAAATGTAATCCAAACTAAAAAGTGTAAAGTAACCTACCTGGCTTGTAATCTTGGTAAAATTCTATCAGTCAGGTCCAGTGCATTGGCTATACCAATCAAAATCAAGCAGCTTTGGGCCTTTGCAGGCCATTCAAATATTGTATATAGAATAGAGTGGTTTTTGCTCTCTAGTTGGTCAATCTCATCCAACACTAATATTCTGAAATGTAGATGATTGAAGATAATTAATCAGCATTTCTTTACAATAATTCCAAATGTATTATTATAGGATGCTTCAACTAATCTCATAAAATTATATTTTTCTTCTGCATGATAGTGACAACTTCGACAGTGTAAATGTGGTTTATTCTTATTTCGAAATGGCCAAGCATTCTATCAAAATTTGGTGCAAAATTATACAATATGTTAGCACTTACATCATTTTTGTACTCTTTTTCATATACTTTTCAATGGCAGAAAGATATTCCTTTTCAGTCTTAGCAGTGGACTTTATATCCAGTTCTTTAAAAATCCTTGAATATACAGCTGTTGGAGACTTTATTGATGTGCAATTTATATAGATATGTTTGAAGTCTTGCAAGCATTCTTCTTGTAGTATCAGAGTCAAAGAAGCACTTTTTCCAGTGCCAGGAGGCCCACTCACATACATTGATGCTGATATCTTTTCACTCAAATGCGTATTTATAAAATCCTTCAATTCACTGATTTCCTTCTCCCTTCCAGGCAAGTTTACAGGTACTGTGCTTTGCAATGCCTTTCTAGCAGTTTGATAAGCATTACTCAAACATCTTTTAGCACTATCTTTCACAACCATGCTATGAATATCACCAACGATTTTTTGTTCATTTTTGGCTTTTGTGTTGAAGAAATTGCTTTGTTTTTCATCTTTGAATAATTTCTTTGCACTTTTTGGAGGACTATTGAGTTCTAACCTTTGCAGTAAGCTAGATGGTGTATTAGTTTGGGAATCTATAAGTTGCTTACGATTTAAACCTTCGGGAGTAGTTACCTCATTTAAAGTGTCATTTTTCTTCTGCTTAGGAGGTGTGGAATTGCCAGTAACAGCTGTATTTTTCTTCTTTCTTGGTGTGGTAATTCTTGTCTTAATATTTGATTCATCCTCATATTCGTCATTAAAGGTGTTGTTCGTAGGGCTTCTGTACCGCTGTTTCTGGGAAAGTCGTGCTGAGGATCTGGTGTACATGTCGAACTATTTTTGGTGAAGATTGCGTAATACTTCCACGTGTAAAATCATCAATAATTTAACACGGTTTCATTTAAAATATACTATAAAATGTTAAATAAAACATGTAGCAAAAATGGGGTTTTAGTTTGTTTTGGCGCCAAGCACGAAATTACAAAATGTCAACGTGACATATGCCAATCTAAATATGGTGATGGGAGAATGTCGAGGTTTATTCGATAGTCCATACTTTCAATTCGAAAGAATTCGTCAAAACCGACGTACGTGACGTGCTAAACGCCGCTACATTTAGACACATTACAGGTTTTCTTGTAGATATAAATTATTTCAACAAAACAATGTTTTTATCAAAAAATGGTATAAGTATGAATTTTTTATTCAGCTACTCTTCAATAGATGGCGCTGCATATCGGTAGCCCCACAAAGTCCACTATTTTTAATGAGTACCTTGGGCAGATTCCGCTGCTGATTGCTGAAATTCGGTCAGTAAGCCTCAATGCAAACAGGGAGGAGGACGCTATGTTTTTCAACAAAGCCAAAACAATACGTAATATTAGATATAATGAACTATTTCAACAAAATAATCTTTTCATCAAAAAAATGGGGTGATTATTAACCCCCCTCACGGAAATTTAAGTTTCTTGATCTTTGAAGATGCGTTGCCAATATGCCAATGAATGAATTTATTCGCCATAACAATAATAATAATTTTACAATATTAACATTAACATTATTTTAAACAATTTTTGATGAGACAATTTTCGGCAAATTCAAAATGTTTAAGCTTTTGGGTTTTTTATATTTGGTATATATCTTCGTCTGTTTTTTGGTATGTGAGCGTTTTTTACGGGAATTTGGGATATTTACAAAAAATAAATATATATGTATGTATGCAAAGTGCTTCTTGTGCATATAACATGTTTTTTTTTAATTCTCACGTGTTGTGGAAAGCGTTAATCAGCGTAATTGATTAGAAGATTATTTATCAGATTGTTTTATTCTGAAAGCTGTATCAATGAGTAATTGACCAATATTTTCGGTGAACTGAAGCTGTAGCACCTTTCCGTTAAAAAATGTTTCAGCTTTCTTATATATGATTTGACTTAGAGGTGTTATTTTTACAATATACGATACTTGGACAAAGCCAAGAGTAAATTAAAACCATTCTTTGGATTGAGTAGAATTAGCAGTCTTGTCAGCCTTAGCATGGACACCCTATTAATTAAGCGTTTCTAACAGAAAACTATACTTCAAAAAAATTATCTCAAGTCGTTCGAGCCAAAGGTAAGGTTCCCTTTTGTAATTGTTTAAAATAACAAAAAGACCTGAAACGTCATGATTATGCTTAAAACCCTTCTGCACACATTTAAATTAACTTTGAATATAAAAAAACTCATTAGATTGCCTTCTCCATAACAATGGCTAATAGACCAGCATTTGATCAAATTACGCCTGATAATATAGATGAGCCTTTGAAAGAAGTAAATGAAATTAAATATTTGGGGGTTGTTGTTGATCAGCACTTGAAGTGGATCCGGCATGTGCTGTACTTGAGAAAACAAAATAGATTTTTCATCCATACATTCTACACTCTTCGTAACATATTGAACCTGAAGCTTATATTGATGATTTACAAAGCACTTGTGGTGCCCCTTTTTATATGGCATAATTGTGTAGAGTGGGATGTACGGTTCAAATTTTGGGCAGTTAAAAGTGGTGCAGAACCATATTGTAAGGATTATTCTAAAAAAACCTAGATTATATCCCACTATGCAGCTATCTTCTCAAGAAATAAACAATATTAAAATCTTATAAATATATCCTTGCAGTATGTAGTTTTGTACATGCAAATAAGAAATTAAATACAAACTATGTATCCCATAATCATGTCTTGCACCTAAATTTTACAATTTGATTCCTGCCAATATCAGGAATACGAGTATTGAAAATAATAAAAAAATTAATGTTTCGTTAAAATGATCTGTTGGCAAAATCATGAACAATTCATGCGTTTATTTTAAGTTGCTTTGAGGTGGGATGATCTGTCTATTTGTTTCTTTTCTTTTTTTGTGACAAAATTGTGATACGTTTTTTCTGATGTTCTGATGTTTACGTAAATGCCGAAGAGAGATGGGCTGGTGGAAAGGCGCCTGACTAAATTCCAACCAATGACGACGCAGACCGAATGGCGGTACCGGCGTACTACACGCTGCGGGTTAACGTGCGATGCGACAGTTCAGTTATCGGTTGGCGCTTGGTGAGCGTGGTGCGCCGAGCCCTCTGTGCAACGCTCAGCTTCTGTTCCACTCGTCGTGGGCCAGGAAGTCTTTGTCGGCGATTTTCCGCGGTGTCGTCGTGTCGCGATGGTGGTGCGAGTGATTTTGTGGTGATTGTGTGTGAAAATGTGTTGTGATTGTTCGTAAAAGGCGAGTGGAGTAGTTTCACGTTGGATATTGAGCATTCCTGGGCTGAATGTCTTAGCAGCAGACTAGGTAAAGTTAAGCATAGCCATCTACTTCTGTGTTAGCTTTGAGCTCGTAATGTCAAGATTGACTTATTTTTTTGTAGTAAAAAGACATTAGCAATTTTTCTCTAAGGTTAAACGTTTTCATGTTAGAAACGATTAAAGTTCTGAGAAACCTCAAAAATGTCGATCTTCAATGCTTTGAAACGCGGGTTAAAATTATCGTCTAGTTGCCTTGTGTCTAAGTTAAATTTCGGACCTTTCCTTCAACACTCCGATGAGTATTTTAAGATTAGTATATCTTAAAGTATTATTACTTAATTGTTAGCAACGCGAGGCGCTGATGCGTATTCCAATGCGCGTTATTATTATTAACAATGCAATAGCAGCATTTAAAAATAAGTAAAAAGTACGCCAAGTAAGAGAAGGTTTGAAGTTTAACTGAGTAACATGACAGAACATTTTTTGGGTTTTTCAGATATTTAATCGCTTATAACTCGAAAACGACCCTTTTAGAGTGAAACTATTTTTATTCACAACGATCCGCTAGTGCATTACATGTTATGTAGGGTTGCGTGAAGTTGAAAGGCATTTAATTTAATTTTCAATTTAATTATTAAGAATGTCCATCAAAACGAAAACATTCAATAAAAAACTATTATATAGTAAAATATTCCAGAACTTTCATGTTTGCGGTCATTTTCGGTCCCATTTCTTCCATCTACACCCAAAAATTAGGGTCTGAAATAATTTTTTCATCAAAAACGGCTGGTAGATAGTTACCAAATCTAAAAACACTTTGTACAGGCCAAAAATATGTTTTTTGTAATTTGTAAATGTTTACACTTTGCAGCCGGCAACCTCATGATTCATTCAAAAATCGGAATGGAAAATTTATCCCACGAATTTTTTCGCCTCGTCTATAATAAATGTAAATGAGTACATAATAACTAGAACACTATCATGTAAAAAAACTTGCAAGAAAGCGAAATTAATGCACGTAAATAGCGATTGTATTACGTGTTCATATTCTATCTCTCGTATAAAAAGTTGTTTACAATTTTTTGTAAGAAATAAATACCTCCATACAATCGCTATTTATAAGAGGGTCAATTTTGAAGATTTGCCATCCATTGCACTATATTCATGTTGTATCTGGGCTTGCATCCACTACGTGGCAGCAAAAGTGCGAAATAAAGAAAGAGAGTTCTTTGTCAAAGCCCTATAGGACTTTGTTTATTATTGGCAGCAAGCCCAAAATTCGGGACCGCGGTTGGCCGCGTGGGTCAGAGTGTCGTGCTACTGATCAGCCGGCCGGCCGGGTCGCGAGTTCGAATCTCGCCTTCGCCATGGATGTTGTGACGTCGTGTGTTTGTACATAATTAGGTATATTCTATATACAACCTAGTTTCTGGCTGCATGGCTTAGTCCTTAAGCCAAAAAAAAAAAAGCCCAAAATTCCAGATCTTTATTTTCAAATATTCTGGCAATATATACATCACAGTCTAATTCTTAGTGGATTTTTTTTAAGTGTGTTCATTAAAAAATGAAGGAATAATTATTTGCCCTTAAATCGTATTATACACGGTGTCCCAGAAATAACACGCCAGAGTAACTTGGGAGCTAGATTGGCTTCATCTCAATCAGATAAAATCAACATGATGTAAACGTTTTCTATTTTTTACGAAAGACGGCTGTACTTATTTATTTGCATAATTTGGCAAGTATTACGACTTCAGTGATAAAACTTGGAGTTATACATTTGCTAGTAGAAAGAACCTACAAATGTTATACTATTTTTATTAGAGGATTACACATTGAAACAAAATGTAACAATTTTTTTTTAGCATACCGTGCTAGTTTTCAATGAAATGAATACTCGGTTATCTCAACCAACCATTAATGGTAGCTCAGGAAAGAATCATAAGTTAGTTCTTTATAGCCGTAACAGGCAAAAAGGGAGCAAAAGATAGTGATGAAAAAAACAGTGTCAATATTTCGAAAACTTTTACTAAGGTCATGTTGATTTTACCTGATTGATCTGAAGCCAATCTACCTTCCATGTCACTCTGGTGTGTTATTTCCGGGACACCCTGTATTTGTGTTCTCACACGATTGTAACGGTTATCTCACGGAAGATCTGCTTTAGTAGACTTTATGCGATATTAGGATAATTAATAAACAGTAGTAAAAAAGAGTATGTAATAAAAACTATGCTACAAAAACCAAAAGTATTTTTTTTCCTTATGGAACTACCTGTCTATAATTTATACTGTTGAACAATAAAAATATAGCTTTCTGTAAGATTTTCGGTAAACAGTGGTTTCGGTAATATTTGGATATGTTCGTTTTTCTTTTGCAAAAATGTTCCGTAAGGACAAGGATACAAATATAGGAAAATAAAGTGATTATTCATTGTCTTACGACAATTTTTCATTTTTATATTTTGATAATTTATTGGCTCATCGTTGGTAACTACGACCTCCACGGACATGCAAGGGGTATTTTCCATGTGCGTGCAAACCAGTTTTAATAAAATGTGCTAATATATTATACCGAACTATTTTATTTATACAGGGTGTCCCAGAAATAACACGCCAGAGTGACACGGGAGGTAGATCAATCAGATAAGATCAACATGACTTTAGTGAAAGCTTTCTAGTTTTCCAGATATTTCCACGTTTAAGTTTTTTCAAAAAAATCCCCA